CTATAGGTCCCATAACGACTCGCACTTGTGATAGAAAATAGTATGTGCAACTCGTTCGGAAAAGTTGCCATAGCGCCACTTGGGCGCTTTCCGCACTCGCTTTGCTCGTGCGTCAACTGCGTCCGCGTGGCGCTACTGGTAACTTTTCCCCACTCGTTACACAATGTACTATTATTGCATTTTTCACGTATAGCATTAACCATTGATGAGGAAACAGAAAATAAATATGTACAGGATGTGTTTAAATAAAAGGCTACGAGATACTGTAGAAGTCAAGACATTGTAAGTAGCTACAGTTGCTTCATCTGCAAGCTACAGTTTGAGTTTGACGTATATTTATGAAACTTGGGCTGGCCATTTAACTTATAAATAAAGGTGTAAAGTCACAGAATTTGCATACGATTACAGGGTGGTTTGGAAAAAGATACCACACATTCAGGAACTAATAGAAAATAAGATTTTTTTCAATGGACCAAAGGCCTATCATCTGTTGTTTTTGAGATAGAGGGCATTAAAAATTGTTTATTGAAATCATTTTACCATATCTTAAAAAAACAGCATAGTACACTTGGAACAAGAGCTCGATATAATTAGTTTTCAACCATCCACGAGAAGTCGCTAGCTTTAGCCTTCACTGACACTATATGACATCACTTTTTTTGAGGTTAAATTATCTAATATTGTAATGTATAATTTTATTTTACATAAACATGATAGGTACTTTTGTTGAAATCACTGGATTCATACCGATTTTTAGAAAAACTCAGTTGAATGTTCCAAAATCAATCCGCTTCTATTCCTTAATATACTGGGAAGGCAAATAGTTCCTACTTCAAATAATTTTTTTTTAAGAAAAATGAACCGATTTATAATGTTTTTGCTTGCTTCAAAAGTTATCGACCTTTCAAAAACTTTTTGTATGCCCTTTTCAACATAACTTTTTAAGGTAGCTAAATTATACTAAGGTAAGTGAGTTTTCTAGAAATATGGCCAATTGGTTTCCAGGAGCTCTGTATTTTATGGAGTAGGAACTGGTTGACTGTTGACTTTGGGACTGTCAAAAGCATTTTTCTCAAAAAACTTAATTTTTGAAAAGGGAGTTTTTTTGTGTAAATGTAAATTTTTCATTGTGGTATAATACACGTAAAAAACTTAACCTAAAAAAAGGTGTTATAAAACGTCACTGCATTGAATGAGATTGTAACTATAGTGACCTCTAGCATGTGCTAGCTGTTAAAAACTATTAACACCTCCCAAAACTTGTTTCAAATTAAATTACAACGCATTACATTGGTTTTTGAAAAAGACGATAGATCCATGGTATAAAAGAAAAAAATATTTTTTTATTAGTCCCTGAATGTATTATACCTTTGTCAAAAATACCCTGTATGTCAACCCGAGTCAAAGATTAAAAATCTCAGAATTTCGACGCCACTGAATGTTTTGGTAATTTGCGAGACTTTGTTTAATCTACAGGCCGAATTTCACTGAAGCTGGTCAACAGCCTGGCGAGTCCAAAACGTAGTGCAATACATGAGTATACAGGGTTGTTATTTTCAAGCGCGATTGTAGGTAGGTCCCGCCAGGCGGCCTTAGGCTTACTACACTGTTGAGTAAATAGAAAAATAACTTTACTCTACATTTATCGGCTAAGGCCGGTGTCCCATGCATCCGAATTCCGACGATACGAAGATCCGAAAGTGTTCCTGTTGGTTAATATACATTCAAATTTTTACCGCTCATTTTCATCCGAAATTTTTAAAATTCATACGACGTCGGAAAAAGTAGAAATAATTTTAACTTTTATCCGAAATCGTATGTTTTTTAACCTCACTTTTTAAGTTTTTAACATACTATGATTGTTGTTTGATATATTTACAGTCAAATAAATGTAATATTATAATGTCGAATGTAGAAAATATAATACTACGTATATTTTCTACGATACATACCTATGGTTGTCATTTGAAAATGTTTCACCTTCATCTTGTAATAAATTCCATGGTTCTATACTTGATTTATATGAGATTAATTTCGGATGCATGTGAATTATAATATTATCATTCGTACGAATTAAAATATTTTCGGATATCGTACATCGGATTTCATATGCATGGGACACCGGCCTAAGCCTTTCTTTTGTCTTTCTTTTATTTATTTTTTACAAGCTTTCAGTATACGTAGATGTTGAAGTAATGAAAACAGGATACTTAACAGTTGGTTGTTTATTTTTCACTTGATTAAAATCGTTTCAAATATCTTCTCGTTTTACTTTATGTAGTTGTACTATATTGTCGAAGATATTCTGAACACAGTTACCTAGAACCTAAGTGAGCAAAAATCTGAGGTCAATGTTAGTTTAGTTGTTTAGTTGGTAGACTGGTAATTTGCAAAATAATAACTTCCGTTTCAGTACCTGAATTCTAATGAAACAATAATGAATTTAAAGTGGTCATATTATGTTGAACACGAAGTATGCGACTCACGGTTTTTTATAGTGAATGATTTCTATGCTTTCTTATATTTTTTTGTAATTTTTTTAATTTTCTTATTATCAATCAAATTTGAAAAATATTATGTTCGCATCACATTAAAACTTAACAAAGTGTAATTACAAAGAAAGTTTAATTTTGTCAGAAATGGAAATCCCTAGGGGTTTTTGAAATTTAGGCACCCCAAATTTCATTTTTCATGTCGCAAACCAGCGAACTTTGTCATCTTGAAGGTTCTCTTGTAGGTATAAAAATTATCCGCTAAAAAATGGTAAGGATTCACACTTTATTATCAAGATGTGTCCACTTTAAATCTTACAAGCCGTCACTGCCAGTAGAATGACAATTACAATTTTAATAATTTTAGTCTTAGCACGAGCACGTCAACGGTTCCTATAGACAACGTGATCATAATTATAAGGAAAAGGAATTTTAATTCCGACACACCTCAGGAAGAAGTTCCCTGCATACCTTTTTAATGTATACTATGTACTCGTTTTGCGCATACGTAAAGTTTTGCAATTCGATTTTGTTCGCGGATTTAAACAAGAATTGATCATGAGTTTCAGTTTTTACTATTATTTTCTCTATGGTTCAGGTATATTAGAGATAATTTCGTTGGCTATTGAGTAATGTGATAAAATAAAAAACAAACTAAAGATTCTAGTGTTTATATCACTGTTTTTTTAGGCTTTGCCTTGTCTAACTCTGATTTCCGGTGAGCACCTGAAATAGGGAAACTTCTTGGAGGTTGTGTAGGCCTTCTATGAGTAACTATGAATTTTGGGAAATGTCTAGAGCTTATTTCATGTCTTAGGGCTTTAACGCAGGGTCACACAATGGCCTAGTTAAATGGGGCGTTAGAACTAAGGTCTAAGCTGGGAGCAATGTTCGCACAAAAATTTTAATTATTAAAAATTGATAAAATTTGTGGATATAATATAAGGGTATTTGATTATTGATCTGTGGACGATTAATGAATGGCAAAGTATCAAGGTCGTAAGGTCGACGTTCCATCACAGTTCTTGATGGGTCCTGTAGCGAAGTTCGCCTTAATTTTGAACAATTAGTCTATCTGGAGCTTACCCCTCTTTGGGTTGTAGTCGACTTTAACTTATCATCGACTTGTAGTCGTGGTACTTTGGTTTTGTCTCACGATTCCTCAATTCGAACTCTATAATATTCGGAACACTTTCCAGTTTCCGAAATTCAAAGCTAATGCGAATTTAATATTTCGACAGCGCATTGTCGGCGGCTGCTTTGCTGACAAGACAACATCGGCCTGTTGTCTGCTGTGGTTTTGGTGTTTGGGGCGATAAGGACCTTCTTAGTAACTTCGGTGGAAATTGTTGAAAACTTGTTGAAAATATTAATTTTCGCTCCGCGCCTTCTACTTCTCGTGGGGGGTAATTTGGATCCTCTTGAGTATGTGTCTCTACTTTGTTAGTTACTGTTACTTACTTCGTTATTGGTCCTGCGTAAAGTGGTTGAATACGGGTTAGTGGTTCTGATTAGAAAGTTGAGCGAAAATTTGGAATACGAGTTTCAACGTGAAAATGACTCAACGACTTGAACGATAATTATTCTAAAACTTGGAAAGACTACTAGGAACTTATTTAAGTAGATGATTATTTAAAACGCTTAAACTCCATCTATTTTGGAGCACCCTGTAGATATTATACAACTGGTGATGTAAAATTGATCTTTGCTATGTTGAATGTACTGAAAATTCAATAAATCTTAATAAAAAAAATCATAACAAAGTATAGCGAATTCGAACGGAACATTTATTTTGCAAGGAAAAATATTTATTGTTAATTTAAAAAAACTAATTATATTATTAAATATTGAACTTTTTAATGGGTATGTTACAACACGCCGATTCGCGCACAAAAAAAAAATAAAAAACCTCGAGAAATAATTGAATCCGCGTAATTGGGGAATAAAATGCAACCGATTTCGTTGCGATGTGTAAGAACGAAAGTGGTTCTGGTTAATTGTCAAAATTGAGACACGATCCATTGTCTTTGCACAAAATAAAACTAACAATTACAGGTGTAATGAATGAAAGGGCGTGGCAAAATAAACGTATAATTCCCTACTTTCACAACATTTTTAAGAAAGGGACTAAGATAACTGGGTTAAAGAGTATCACATATCTGTTATATAATCGATTACAGAGTCTAGTAGCTGCAATAAATTTATTTCAGCTTTATGTAACTGTTGCAATACGACGGATTGTAGTTTTTGGTTCTTGGCGGGTTGTTACATAACTGTGTACATTCTTGCTCGATTTTCTCCGATGAAGAAAAAGAATAACGAAGTGGGTCAAGTTTAAATTAATCATATTCCACTGAAGAGAATATTGAACTGTTATGTAATACATTCTGCTTTGCAAAGTCAAATGCCAGTCTTGGTTTGTGATATCAGAAAACCATTATATGATATTTGTAGTAGTAATTTTGACTATTTTTGACTTCTTAATGAAAATATGGAACTAAATTTGTACCAATTAAACCATTATTTGTTTATAAACTGTATACTTTTTTCATTCAAATCCATTCATGTAATAGAAAAAGTATTCATCTTTTTTAAATCTTTAACATTCTGTATTTCGAAACATAAGTCTTCAGAAAATTTTTTTGCAATGAAGAATTAATTCCTGTAATTCCAGCATTTAAGGCGATGTCACCCTATATTTATGTCATCTAGTATTAAAATAATAAAGTCTATTTAATTTTCAACACAAATTATTTTTTTTAGAATGGAAAATATGTTGGACGAAAATAATGAGCTACCTAACTATTTTCTTTCTGAGATATATAAATGGGCACTAGAATGTAAGTAGAAAAAATTTAAAAAAATTGTGTTGGAAAGCTGTGTAACTTACAGAAACATCACTGTACATCATCATCTCATATCACACCATAAAGACGTTTGAAAGATGGCTTATAAAGAGTAGGTCGTAAGTCCAATAGACCTTTTTAGTAGTAACATCACATACGCCAAATTATTGGCAACCCCACAGAGCACATTGTCATGAACAATTTCTCAATATTTTTACTAGATCGATTTTCTACCTTATGTAGGTACTTTGAACATAAGTGCAAAAAAAAATGACTTCTTTGTCATGGCCTTAAATACAGCGATATTCTGGCAATATTAAAAATATTTAAAATAGTTTAAAACCCCAAGTGATAAACTAATAGAATTTATATACTTAAATTTACAGAACAATATTGACTTTTATAGTAATTAATAAATTAAAACTATACATCAATGTTACTGAGCATGCGCATTAAAGATAATTTCATGTAAGCGAAGTAGCCTCGCAACAGGATATCAATCAAGGAAAGTTTGGTTATGGTTATAGAGAACGTCTATAATAAAGCACTTGAAAAAAAAACACTCGATAAACACACTGACACAGTATAACACCAAGAAAAACAATAACAATACTTAGGCTCGGTACTTTGAGTCTCGGTTAAGACTTGATTTACTAATCAGGCGATTAGAGTGTGAATATACTATAAAATAAATCTGTATATTTACCTACAGTCTAATCATGTGATTACTTAACCAAGGCTTAACCGAGACTCAAAGTACTGGGCCTTAGAGAGAACTAGAAAATCACAAGATTAAACAAAACAAGAGAATATAAGTACGCTAATGATGATAGCGATAACTTATCAAGAGCTCACCTGCGTATGAGGCTATTCTTTCCGAGCATGCGCATTAGGAATAACACGGCTAATGTTAAATTTTTACTTTATTTAAATTCAGGAATATCCTTTTATATAGTTTTTTGTAAGTTTTAAGCACATTAGTGTATATATTTTACGAAACACGTGTTGGTTGTTCTTAAATACTTCCAAATCCTTGTAAAAATAAATTAATTTGAAGTTATTCATTTTCATAGTCTATGTAAATAGTACACAAGGGTCGGATTTGGTCTGTACAATTTCAACTATGACAATTGTTGCGGGTTGCCTAAATATGTGACGTCACACTAAAAGAGTCAATTGCGATTTGCCTTTTAATAAAATAATTTATAATCAATCATTTGTAAAATACTTATCGATAAAAACATTGGGACAAACGTAGAGTTTTGCTTTAAAATATACCAGATACAATGAAAAAGCTCCCAAAGAATTAAATTATACAAGGGTAGAAAACGAAAAAAAAAGTAATGAAATGTGTATTTCCATTTTAAATGTCTAATTTTCAAATTTATCGTGTTGTACATACCTTCCTGATACAAATTAATATAATTCACATACATATGCATGAAAATCCTTTAAACTTTAAGCATATGTACTGTTTTGCTTCATCTAAACTGCTTATCTGTATTTTTTTAGTGTGTGTGAGATATAACCTACAAATTGTGTAATGTGTATTAGTATCAATTAATTCAACTGTAAGTTAATGCTAGATGGAACTTTAGTCCGCAAAGTAGTTGTTTTCCACATTTCATTAGTTAAAATATGTACTTATCTGTATTCTTTTTTAAATTAAAGTTTAGCCTTTTAAGGTAGTTAAAATAGTCTCAAATTACTTAGCAGACAAAAATTCCTAAATATTTCAGCTGTAGCCCGTGTTTCCTTAAATACAAGGCTAGGCTGTTTAGAACCAAACCTGCCAAAACATTCGGAATCTCAACGAATCATAGACTCTATCAACACTTTTTTTTGGAATGTCGCTGAAGTGGAACTGAAAATGCCAGTTTGGAGGGTCTACAAGAATAAATCTTTCAGGAAATATATTGGCGCATTAGAAGATTTTAGAACGTAAGTTGTGATATTTAGTTTAATATTTTTCAGTTTAATTAATTAATTTGAATAAGCTAATAAGAATTTCCGAAATATTAAAGAAAGAGTATAGAAAAAAAAATCTTAAAGCATCGATTTTTTTTAATAAACACATTGAGGAAGCAGCTTCAAAGCCTCGAAGGTTTATTGTTCCGATTGTGTAATTTTCAAGATCTTCGCAAGCTCAATGTCAATGCCGACTTTCACTAGTAGTAAAATAGAAAGGATAAAAGTGTGTCATACTTTGCTTCACGCTTTATGAGTCGAATCTGGTTAGTTACCTCATCTGAGATTTATTACTTCACCTATTTTACATACAAAGACTTCTTATTTTGGACTAATAGCAAAATGCTAAGCTTATGATATTTATGATATAACTCACAAAATGTAAAATACGCTAAATTTAACCCTTAACGACCAAAAGTATGGGTTCTAATGCATCATAAAGGCAGTTCATTTGCCTTTTATAGATAGGTACGTTTTTTAAATTAAATAAATAGTCGATTTGTTTAAATCTTTAATATTTGTGTACGCCTCCACTGTTACAATGATAAATGATTTAGTAAAACAGATTGCTTTTGTATAACTTAGCTACGTGTTATTTTAAAGTCATCATATTTTTTTGATATCACTGTGCGAGCGTTTGTTCAGCGGCAGAATATGAAAATTAGTAAAACAAGGTTAAAAAAAGTTTTTGCGACGGAATTTGATAAAATAAACTATGTATTGATACATTTTCCTAAAAATCAAAGGTTGCCTCCTTATAACTTTGACCCCTATTCAATTTTACATCTTATATAAATCGGAACACACACACACAGTTTTTGATGTTATAGAGGTATTGTTTATTTTCTTGTTTATTTAAATTATTTTTACAATCTATGAAGTTATAGTTATAAACATTTTATACATTTAAAAAAAAATTGCTGATTTTCAATATGAATAGTATTCCGTTATTTTATTAATAGATCAAATGATAATTCCTAATAAAACTGGCTATTATTATTTGATTATTAAAAATGTTAGCGACCATAATTCAGTCATAAATAAAATTTGTTTTTTTGAAAATATGACTTTTAAATTAAAAGTTTCTCATATTTATTATTAATCGATCTTTGCAGATTATGTTTAAAATATATAAACCAGTGTATGGAGCAAATGAAGGAAAAAAATTACGACAACGTCAGGGAAGAAGAAATATCTATTGTAGAGATGATTCTTAAAAAGACAGGCAATCCAAAACTGGCAGCTGTTTTAGCATTGGATTTATTATTAGTTGGTGTAGATACGGTAAGTAACAAAATAGGTAATTAATAGTATTCTACTTTGTGTTTGTTCAAAAGAATTTCTTGTATATAGTTTAAGAACAATTTATGAAATTTTCAGACGTCCATAGCTGCTGCCTCTACCATTTACCAGCTTTCTCAAAATGCTGACAAACAGCAAAAATTATTCGAAGAACTTCAAAAAGCTCTACCAAACCCCGACTCCAAAGTTGATGTTGTTGCTCAGAACAGTATACCTTACCTTAAAGCTTGCATTAAAGAAACGTTAAGGTAAAATACAAAACACGAGCAAGACGTTAACTGTCCTAATTATCATTTTCAGTATTTAAAGAACAACTATAACAGCTCCTTAAGTCAGTTGTCTTTATTTTTTTTAGAATGTACCCAGTAATTATCGGAAATGGGAGAAGTTTACAATCAGATGCAATATTAGCAGGTTATAAAGTGCCAAAAGGGGTAAATATTCATTTATTTAAAAATATTTTAAATACATCCAATAGAATAAGTAGTTAAAATATAAAGATCAAAGAGACTAACTGTTGAAGCTCGAAGCTTCATCTAAGCTATAGTACAAGGCGGCCAAAGAAATTAGAAGACATAGAAAAAAGACTTATCTGCGCAAAGGCTGCCATTTTCAGATGACTAACAGCTGCAACTGACAAACAGATTTTGCCAGCAAATGATACCTTCCAATTTTTTATTTATTGATATTTTATGTCTTTTTTTATTTACATATTTTTCATGAAAGGTTCAAGTTACCATGATAACATTGATTTTATAAAACACGCTAATCAAAACAACGTAAAAGGTACCTAATGCTGATATTTCTTTTTAAAAAAATTAGACTCACGTCATATTCCCTCATCTGGTTGTTAGTAATAGCGAAGACTACATCACAGAACCTGAAAAATTTGTCCCTGAAAGATGGTTAAAGAATACAGAACATGGCAAGTGTCCTGCACACCAAAAGAAAATTCATCCTTATATTTCGTTGCCTTTTGGATATGGGAGGAGGTCTTGCCTAGGAAGGAGATTTGCAGAGACTGAGTTAAATATATTATTAGCAAAAGTAAGTTTTAATAGCAGTGGTGATATTAATATAAGAACTTTTTGCCCCGTCAATTAGCTAATTGATCTGTATTTTGTAAAGATCCACAAAAAATTTGTAATTCCCTTTTAAAGTATAGTCCTTCCGAAGTCAGTTGAATATGCAAAAAAACGTCTGGTAATAAAATTTAATGAGTTTCATAGGCGTCCCTAAAAAAATTTTCTGCGAAAGGTAAAAAATTATAATAATTTGTATATAATGTGTAGAAAATTTCTATTATATGTTCATTTAGTCAACAACAAATTTTAATTATTTATGTCCTCAAACAATTTTATTATATTGATGGCAAATTTTGTTTTATTCCGTTTCAAAATAAGGTCTCCAAAATGCCATGTTGTGATAATATTAGTAAACAAAATATCCCTCTTATTTCTCCCTTTCGCAATTGTAATATGAATGATTGATAGAAGGTGCCTAAAATAAGTTAAAATTGCCTGATTCACATCAAATTCCGCACTACTGCACTACACTGCTGTTCAATTTATGAACCACTTGACGCCTGCTGTGATTTATTGCCCAGAAGCCCAATACAACTGTGCTCGTTTTCCTTTGGCCGCAATCGTATTCTTCAACTGAGCGTATACATTTCTACCACCTGCACGTTTAGTTCGACCAGACCTATATATGGGTATGGCTAAATAAATAAGGGAACAAGTTTTTCAAATATTTCAATGCCGAGTTGCTGCTTAGCGACCCAGCCTGGTACATACCTTGAAATTATAAGTTCTTCAATTGACTTCGGAAAAACTATACCTAGGTATTATTTTTCAGATTTTTAGGAAGTATAAAGTGGATTACAACTATGGACCACTCAGTTACAAGATAACTCCAACTTATGTGCCTGTACAGCCCCTCAAGTTTCAACTGACTCTGAGGGAATAAGTTAGATTTTATTATGCTAGTCAACTGCATTGCAGACACAAAAAGTCTGTTAGGAATAGAACTTCTTAATTCAATATCTGCCTGTATAAATTTATCTATCTATAAATATATATTTTAAAATAAATTCCCATCAAACTCTTTTTAATCAACTTATTACCTTTTTGTAAATATTCTCCAAGGAAATGCAAAATGTGATTTAAATTCTGAAAATCGCGAAAACGCGCCTTTAAATGAAGGAAAGGAAATGAAGAAGAAGACGAAGTAGGAAGAAGAAATTTTTCTAACCTAGATATGTTATGATTTATGTTATTTAGTAAATATTTACAAAAATAAAGCGATCTAAAATTATTCTACTACCGCGTTTTATCTTGATAAAAAAATAATTTCATCCGACTTTATGGATGACAGCAAAGGAACTCCCGAAAGTGATTTTAGCATAGAATGTTTTCAAAATTACACGGCACCAGAAGTATTTATTCAGGGCCTGGCTGGAATAGTTGACCAGCAGGATGTTGAAGCAATGATAAGAGCTCAAAAGCAAATGTAAGCACCTAATAAAATCTTTGTCACATCCTCTATTGATTTTTTAAGGTTGCAGAGGTTCGAAAAAACTAACGAAATGTTAACCAATTGCAATGCTCTCAGCGCGTCACGTTTGAAAACTGTGGGACCAGAATTCAAAAAACACATACAGTTATTGTTAGAAACAAAAAAGGATTTGGATTATATATTTAAGAAAATTAGAGCGATAAAATCGAAATTGTCAACTCAGTATCCAGAGGCTTTTGCAGAAGCAGTTCGAAGCAGTTTTGCTGAAGAATGTGAAGAAGATGAGGAAAGCGGTAGTAAGTCACGCCAGAAAACACTCAATGATGAAGGTAACAGAAGAAGTTTACATATAAAGAATGATAAAGCGGAGAATGTAGACTCAAATCGAAGGGCCTCAAAGTAGAGAATAATTTACTGAGGAAACTATTAATACAGAAATATCACTTGTTCATGTGTAGTGATAAAAATTTTATATTTTGGAAGTATATATTGAATATAATAGTTAAATTAAATTTAATATATGCGTTACTGTCTGTAAATTAAATTAAAGGACTATTACTTACTCAATAAACTTGGGCATTACAGTTATTAGCATACTGAAAATCAATATAGGGTGTTTCATTAATAATTGGACATATGCCAACTGGATAATCCTTGGTTTAGTTCAAATGAGATCCTTACTGAGATACATACTATTTTATTTCAGTTTTTTAAATTATTTTATACTATTTAATATTTCTTTATCGTATTTGACAGAAAGCTTAGATACTTTATGAAACATTAAACTGTGGTAAAAGATAGTTTGATGTTATTACCAGAGGCATATAGCTTGTCCCCTCAAAATTCTACTCCACTGGTTTCTACTATTCATTTTAGCATAATTTTTTGATTTCCAAACATTTCAAATAATATACTCTTATTTCACGAGTGATTGTTTTTTCGATAATTGAAGTTCATATTCTTAATGATTATTTCAGTATCTCTACTCATAAAATAGAATTGTAGCATGAAATAAGATTGTCAACTTTTTGTAATTTAATAATTTCAACGGCATTAATGAAACACTATAACCCAAATAAAAAATTATAAAATTAGGAAGTTATAAATTTGAATGAGTTTCCTTGATTAAATATGAATTTAGAGCAACTTCTGTTTTGCTTAAAATGTTATAAAAAGTTTAACCTACTTTCTATTTCAATTACAAATTTTAATGAATTTGTTCAATGGATGTTAATGGTTCAAATAAAATAACATACAAAAAAAAACATGTTTTTATTTGACATGGCATAGCTACCAATTTTAAGTAATACCTACATTTGTAAATTGATTTGACGTAGTAAATAGTCTATAAAAAATAAAATACAAATAGTCGAATACATTAATTGTATTGACATACATATAATACATTAGTTTTATAGAAAAATAAATATGTGAATTTTATTTGTACATTATTGTTGTGCATGCTTCTCAGTAAACATTTTTGCTTTTCTAACAAAATCTTTATTATAATTTTTAAATTCTTCTGCAATATCTGCCATTAAAGGATCGTCAGGATTAGGCGTTTCTAAAAGCATCCGGATAGCAATCAGTAAGCCCTCAAGTCCTATAGTCGGTTTCCAATTACCAGCAGGGGGCATTTTTATTAGGTCCAAGCAAATACGTCCATTATCGTCAATATTTGGATGATATATTTTAGTTACAAATTTTATAGATGGGGGAGCAAATGGATACCTTTCTGGGACAATAATTTCTAGATTGAAAACACCATTTTGATATGGCGTTTCTTCAGGTCCGGTGATTTTTGCTTCTAAAATGTCGAACTTCTCACTTTTTGGAAATACACAAATCCCTTGTGGAGGAGAAATCTCCATTTTCGCAAGTTCACGAGATAGTCGTTGCCTCTGCATTATTTATTATCTTGATGATAGGTTACGCATATTATTAATATCGTTTTAAAATGTTACAAGATTCAGAATTTAAATTTAAACACTAAACTAAGATTCAAAAACTATGCCGTTAACTACAAATATAAATGACAGCTCAAATAAACAATAAACATTAGCCACGTCAACTGTCATCTGTCAACAATAAAACACGGTTGCCTCTTAACGTTTTTTGACGATCAAATCCACGGTTCGAACCAGGGAAGTCTCCATGGTTCGGACCGTGGATCAAAACCACATTCAATATGGTTAGCTTACATTTTCTTATGTTAATAATTTATCCACTTTGCCGTACATCTAATAAATATGTGTTCGGATCTCGTTAATTTTTTTTTGGTTTGGGTTTAGTTGCCTTTAACCTCGATAACCACACATTACACCTTAAGTTCCTGTTTCAATACCATAGTTATTGTGAAACATAAAGCCACATACTTAAATTTATTTAAATCATAATCCTTAAAAAACGATGACGGCTCGGTTAACTTTTTTCTCACATGTAGGTATCCGTCGCAGATCTAGGACTCACAATCAAGAATATTAAAATAGCATCCTCGATCGACATCATTTTTATCCTAATATGATTTTATATGCCCGGTTTTAAACAAATGCGGTCTTGCGGGCACTTATGATTTTGATTTTCTTATAAATGTTTGTCAAAATATCGGAAAGAGTCAAAGAAACGTAAAGCCGAGCGTTATAATTCAAAATATAATATAAAACACAGTGTCGGAGGAATAAGAAAAACAAATCACCTCCCCGAAATTCAAAATTATTTCTTTTCCCTGAACAAAAACAGCGCCCTCTCTTGGTTGCTTGTTTTTTCTTTCAGTAAAATATAAATCTAAAAGCAAAAATCAAAAATTAATTATAGAACCTATTTGCAACAATATCATAAACGATCGAACAAATAAACCAATCCATCGCCAATCTTTTGTGTACAACTTCACTGTATTGATGCTAACACACGATTGGTTCATTCAAATTTAATGACCAAATCGTATTCTCTCTTTTTCTGTCGAAGTGTCTGCATTTTATAACGAATTTTTGACTTATCAGCAAATAGCAAATCAATTAAATTAAACTAATACTTTGGTAATAAAATGGCTCAAAATGTGAATCCATTTTATGAGCAACAAGCTGGTGCGACAAAACAGAACGATGAATCGAAAAAATCATCAAACGATAGTCATGCTGTAACTAAAAGGTAAAAAAATGACTGAACTAACCTCAATAACATTAATAAACAAATATGCATTTATTTCAGATTGCACAAAGAATTAATGACTTTAATGATGACACAAGATAAAAATATTTCAGCGTTTCCAGATGGAGAAAATTTGTTTAAATGGATAGGAACAATAATGGGTCCGAAAGACACTGTATATGAAACACTCAAATTCAAGCTTAGTTTTCAATTTCCCAACTCTTACCCCTATACAGCTCCTGTTGTAAAATTTGTGACACCTTGTTTTCATCCCAATGTAGATACAAGTGGTAATATTTGCTTAGATATATTGAAAGACAAGTGGTCTGCCTTATACGATGTAAGAACAATCTTGTTATCTATTCAAGCACTATTAGGAGAACCCAATATTGATAGTCCTTTAAACGCTTTAGCTGCTGAAAAGTGGCAAAAGCAGGACGAATATAGGAAACACGTTTTCGATACATATAAAGAGGCTTAATTATTTAGCGTGTATTTGTTATAATGAATTGTAAATTATTAGTTAGGGTGTGAAAATTTATAGACTGCAGTAATCGAATTCAAACACTCGGTTATAATTTTTCCGTTATTTTTTTATTATGAGTATATTAATATAAAAATGTCAATCAATAATTTTTATTTATTAATACTTCAAGATACTAAATTGGTTGCCAAAATTCATATTCGTAAATGCACCCACTATCATGTACTGAGTGTTTGAATTAATCGTACTTATTGATAATTTTTATTTTGTGTAACTGATAATTTGAACTGTATTATAGTATAATTAATAAATTACATATAGTAAAAATTATTGTCTTCAATTTTTTAATCATGTAATGTTTGTTGTAACGATAGTGCAATAAATAGATAAAAAGTACATTACATTTATCTTCTTAAAATTTGTTAACCTTCCGTAATAGATAGTTATATCTATAGCATTAATATGGTTAATAAATTACCATTTTTTTTTTTTTGTTAGTAAAATTAACATTGGTTATTTTTATTGACAAGTGTAGTTTAATACAATTTTTTTAGATCGTGTTTATCGAGATCAGTAGTGTTTTAAATTTTTATGGGTCTTTCAACAATGATGATTGGCAAAAATTAGTAGTCACTTCATGTGGGATCCATAAAATAATTGTGAACGAAATTTATAAAATAAAAAATCAAAATAATAGTATAAACCAAGATCTTAAAAAGGGTTTACAAAGCGTTCAATTACAATTCAATTTCTGTTACAGATGTCATCAATAAATTCTGTGATGTAAATGAAGAGGGGTATTTCAAATAAAGTTTTGTTTATTTATAGGAAGTTGAAGTTGTCAAAAATTAAAACAATTTTCAGGTATTTTTCGGAAACTCAAGCATTGAGTGAACGTGCCATATTTAGAACTTTCAATGATTTTTAATCACAAAAGGTACACTTGTCACATATCATTAAAATGTGTATGAAAAATGGGTCAGTTTTCTATTGTAATAATTAATTGTGGGCAGCATTTGGGAACTAGTTTTTTTGACAAATTTGTAACAATTCATTATTCTTTCAATGATTTAGACCGACTTATCACCGTTAAAACCTCCAAAATCTTTTAAGGTATAGTCCTGCTGAATGTAATTCCGTGATTGAATATTTATAGGCTATATCGCATTGTAAAAAGTAAGAACATATTTACAAATTTATCAAAAAATGTTTAAATTTAAATGCTTCCACAACTGATTACTGAGAATAGAAAATTGAAATCCATTTTTCTCAAAAACTCTGGATTTTAGCAATATGCAACAAGTTTCATGTTTAAATATCATTAAAAAATTTAAATATATCATTTCTATTTCACACGTTTATTTTATTAAGGTATTCTGAAAAGGATGTTTGCACGCCGCTGGTTTTTTGTAATGTATAAAAAATTGTAAAACTAGGAAAAAGTGCTGAACAACTTTCCTAAATATGTCAGAAAATAGTTAAATTTTTTCTATATATTAGTTCTATATCGTTCAAATTTAATTTGATTAACATTTCATTTTTCAAACTTCATAATGCTATAATTTTAAGAAAAATGATAATTGATAGTGAGAAAAATATTTTGTAGATGCACAGCAATAAAAGTTGAAAACCGGGAAGACTTTTTCATTGCATGGAGAAGTTATTCTTTCAAAAAAATTCTGCTTCTGTTCAAAAGTAGAAAAATAGTGTTTTCAGTGAGCCAACACAATTGATGAGACGTAGTAGTTGATTTTATCCATAAAACTTAATTTTACACTATATCAGTTAAAAAGTACATAAATATTAACCCCTATTTATTATTTATTTATTATGTAAGGGAGTCCACACAATGTCTTTAAAACTTTAATCTAAAATGTTGACATTTTGGGAAAAGATCCTATGTGATTAAAAAGTAATTTGTTATATATTTTTATTTCTGAAAAGTTAAGCAGGTCCTGTCAAGACCAAGAAAAAATAAATTTTTTCGTTATGAACATTTTCTGAGTATAGAAATCATCTCTTAAAAGTATGAGTCCCATATCTCACTATCAAAATATTACCACTTTAAATTTCACCGACGGCACCATTGTTCTCAACCAAATTAAAAACTCATAAAATTTATAAAATAAGATGTTTTTAATTCAATAAATATTTGGCTCACTTAAATATTTTAATATATATACAGAGGTATGGTGACTAGGACTTAACTATAATCAAAATAAAAAATAACAATATAACACTCGCCGCTAGCACAATAATAGCACACATTTTCCGATTTTTCCTCTGATACGCATCAGCCTTTTGTAGTTGCTTAAAACCTTCAAACACCTGAATGGAAGTCTGCTCAATGTTATAGTCTATCCTATCTAATACTGTGCCCTGATCTACAACCATCTGGCTCAAGTCTTTAAAGATATCGTTCAAGTCCATTATAGATTTGACAATGGCATTTACTTCCTGCTCCCTTTCTTGAGCCAATCTGGTATTGTCTTCCTCCAACATCAGTAACTGTTGTTGTGACATCTGTTTGGAGTTTATGAAATAATTATCTATATCTTCGGACTCCTCAGTGTAAAAATTTTCTAGATCAATATTCTGGTTATTAAAATATATTTTTGACCGATCCTCTCTCGATTGTATTTGTCGCAAATAACTATTTTGAGTAGACCGGAACAAAGTTGATAACTCTTGCAAAGCCGTCGCTAAAGAGTGGTATACATTGACTGTAAGTCGTTTTTCTTTCGCAATTCCCTCAGACGAATGACTTCTAATAATTTGAACCAGCCTGTGGCATTCATTGAACATTCGGGATATCTCATGTGAACAGTTTTCGATAGCCACTTCATCATCTGAACTTTCATCGAAAGTAGATCTATGTAAGTGCCTGGAATGTAACATTTTTAAATCGTTTATCTTTGATTTTAATTTCGGAATGATCATTTGAGCTTTTTCTAGGTAGTCTATCCATACCGGAGGCATACGATTATCATTTCTCTCTATTGTGCCTTCCTCCACGTCGTTTAAGGACACCAAATGCATTCGTTCCGAATTATCCTGAAACGCGATCAACATTTACAATTTAAACTAAATATTTTTGATAATATGTTACCTGATCAGGATAAATATGCCGACTTCTTATAGCATTATTCCTCATTAATAAAAACACATCGGTTAAACTTCTAGAAGCCATTTCAATGTTAAACTGACTTAATTATTTTTAGTTTAAAAAGTAGGACTAAATGGATTAAATGCACACATTATACACTTTTTTTGACAGTAAATTGTTTATTACCACGGCACAGAGATCTCTATGACGTAGCGACATTGGCAGATATCATATGTGATTTACAGTAGCTGATTTCCATTTACACAAATCTTTCCATTTACACTTAAACCACAATGTTCTGCATTATTTGAAAAGAAGTCTGATTTGAAATAAAGTAATAACGTAACAATATATAATTTGCAAGCATAAAGAAACACGCGCCATTATTACATGGCTACAAATTGGCCTCAATGATTTGGGATCGAGGGGGATTATCCCCCTTTATCCTGCCTCATCTCGTATAGGCCTGGACAGCCTTCGTAGATGGGCCCCATTCGTCGTTAACCCCGACCGCGCCATTATTCGATCGAGGGGAATTATCCCTCTTTATCCTGCCTCATCTCGCGTAGGCCTGGACAGCCTTCGTAGATGGGCCCCATCCGTCGTCTACCCCGACCGCAAATGCGGCCGGTGTAAGCGCTTTGTGGGACCTCCTTTTGTCCTGGCTGGGCCCCGCCTGCTAGGGCCCTAAAGGGCATAAAGAAACAATTTATCATAAGAAATTTTTAAATCCAGTTAGTCATAGACCCACAGAACACGGAAAAATCTAATATTTATAAATATGGTCGACTTACTCGTGTCAGTTCGTTAAGTGTATGTCTGATGTTTCTAACCTTAATTACTATACCGATACCGCACTTATGATCTACCCAAATGGAAAGCATACACAAGTTTTAACCTCAAATTTCAAAATGTACGCATTGCAGTGTTACAAACGGTGAAATAAAACACATTTTAATTGAAATATAACTATGCTTTAATTTACAAAATTACATATAATAATTGTCTGTATAATTTTCAGTAAGTGTAAGTAATGACTCTAAACACTCTTCGTATTCATCTTTATCAATTCCTGCACTGATAAACTGATGAAACCTCGGATATTTAATTCTCTTTGCTTCTACATAAAGAGATTCTAACATAGTACCCACTTCAGATCCAGAATGCAAACCCGCTAAGAGAGGAATACTTTCTACATCTGAAACATAGTAAAAGAGAACGGCATTAGACAACAACAGTCATCATTTTCTAATTTTACAATTGAACTCACTTATATGCTGTGGTCTGGGTGTGGCAGAAACGTACCCAAACTGATTAATGGACTGATCAAAGATTCTCGGATACGGTGTCTTTACATCGAGTGGTTTATGAACCACAGTAACGTTATTTATAGTGGCATGGGTTGAATACGATAAATACAGATTAAGCATTTCCGCAATACTATCACATTTATACGCAGGCAAGTTTTGTTGTTTCTGTGCTCGCTCAGGTGGTAGTTTTAATTTGTCCTCGCTAATTCCACGCAACGTAATATACTGCATTAACCTATCAGTTCCTAAAATAGAAGTGACTGTAAAGCAGCTATTTTAATTAGCATATTCTATTTACCTATCGCACAATTTGGAGTAATACTTTTGGACAAACTACCTTCCCAATTATCTAAACATTCAAGAAGACTAGCATCTACGTTAAATGAAAACGGTAGACATAAACTGGCCGCTGCCGCTTTTCGGCCATTGTGGCTTAGATCGGCACAAAGGTCAATTAGGGAGAAATTAGTCGATTTCAAACGATGTTTTAACGTGAACGTATCTAATGCTGCAGCTAAAACTGCACTTGAATGATATGGAAGCTTATGCTGAAAAATATATTATTATTATTATTATTCAGTTGGCTTGTTGGGTTAGGTTGTTACAAGAAGAGTGCCAGCCCAATTTAGGCATGAAGTGCCAGAGTTGTTAGACGTTACTTTTCGAAATAAGTGAATAACTTGTCGAGGGCCAGTTGCGTGGCCAGCTAGATCACCAGATCTTAACCCATGTGATTTCATTCTGTAGGGTTATTTTTTAAAACACCAGTTATTATAATGGAAAATCTTATTGCCCGCATAGGACAGGACATTTATTGTACTTGTAAAGCAATACAATAAACTTTCTATTTTTAAGTTTTTTAAAAAATGATATTTGAAGAGTTTAACAAATTTTACAGGCAATAAAAAATTGACTGAATTTAGAAATCACCTTGTATAGAAGTTTATCCAACACCTATATGCCACGTAAAAAAAAATTATACTTACATTATTTATTATAAAAAAATTATACTTACATTATATATTGTACGATAAAATTCTCTCTTTGTTCCAGGTTGTCGCCATCCTTCACTTCCTGTACATAATGGAATAAACAATGAAGAATGCGTGTTGAAGGCGTTAAACCCTAATGCCAAATTTAATACTCTTATGGAATCATTTATGATTGTATGGCACTGTTGTTCTTTAGTTGTAAATTCACTATCAGGGAAAAAAGAAGGTATGACTGGAAAAGCTAAAATTGATTTTCCACAATAATCATCTTGCAAATGCTCCATACACCCTGACGATAGTCCTGAAAATGCATTAGTGCAATCGCTCAGCAAGTGGAATCCCTATAACGAAAATGGAGTGTAATAATGTTGAGTTATGAAATGTTGGAATAGGTACATGTTATGCTGCTATTGCAAATGTTTATAAACAAAAAGCGCAAGTTCATATTAAGTATATAGATGCGGTGAAAAATATCTTCATGCACCACAATATTTACCTGAAAATAATCACATTCTTCTACATAGTTTCTAATTCTATTACTAAATTCATCTTCAAACTCCGACGTGTGCCATAGGCTTGTCCCTAAAGGAAAGACATCAAATGGTGTATGTTCGTTACCATGCTGATATTCATGCAATACATTCACTGTTCTAGGATGGAATCTTGAATATAAGAAATCAGACCACACCGTTACATCTTTTTCTAAGTCATAAGTTTTGTTCAATACTTTTTTGGATTCAATGGGATCTTCTAAATCTTTTAGAAACTGATTTTTCTTATCACTACATTTATGTTCGATTTCCACCAAATGTGAATCCCATTCAGTTTCACCTTTAGAAGGTTTTGTTGAATTATCATACAGGTCTCCCCTCTCAGGTAAATTTTTCAAGCTTCCCTTCAAATCTACTAATAAAAGCCTTGGAGTAAATGTAACTTCGTTCTGAAAATTAGAAAAGTAGAACTTTAATATCTTCTGCACATATCTAAATTACATACCGTTTTACCTTTTCTGTTAAACCTTCCCTATAAAGAACATCGTGATTGATTTCTGAAGTAGAGTCATAATTAAATCCTTGTTCTTGGATATTCCACCAATGCGTTCCAATAAAGTTAGAATAATGACCAAATTGTAAAGTAAGAATCCCTTTAGTATCCATGTTAAAAATAACTTAACACCTAGATTATTATACACTTCTGCATTTCGTATTCGATACAATTCTTAAATTACTAAAACAACCTTATTTAAAAAAAAGATAAATACAGTAACGTAACCTATAAAATATAAAATCATGTACGATGCAAACAACTACAGAATATTTAATTAAGATCTTAGAAAATACACTGCATTCTTTTCAATGACTTGAGTGCCCTAGCCTAGAGTAACTCGGAGCTGTTCCTATAGCACGTTCTATTAATCCAGGGCTCGACGTCCTGGGATGTGTTCCCTTTCCAGTTTCCACTCGAGGACTACCATTTTACCTGTGGATTGAAACCCCAAATTATAAACAGGGCCCGAGAACTTATACTTGAAAAAATGGGGAAACTCTGGGAACCACGTGACTTGAGATGGATATACAAGTTGGGGAAAGAGTCTATAGATGTCGCCACAAAGATTTTGTAGAATAAATTTTGACAATTCCAATTATGAATCATTTCATGTCATTCTTGTTCATGTTTATTGTTTATTGTTGGTTAGGTTTGGCGAGTGTTGGTGTGTGTTTTATTTGTGTTTTTAGTGTGTTTTATTAGATATTTCATTCACATTTATTTATATAACATAATAATGTCTGATCATCATATAATCACATTTTTTTATTAATAATAAAATGTTTTGTTTTTTTTTTTTTTTTTAATAAAAAATGTGATCAGAGGTAGGTAGTTTTTTTTATGGATATCAACACAACGAAAAATTTAAAGTTGCATAATAAATCTCTATTACAAGAATTAATCAAAGATTGGTTTAGTAAAATTATTTACTTGTAATATTTTTTTATTCACCGTGAAAGCTAATACAATATAGAAAGCACTGAAACTCTATAATCATTTTCACTCTTTTTTTTTCAAAATATGTACTGAAATTTGAAATTTTTTCAACAAACATTTTAAAAAGTTACAGTATCAAAATTATTTCTTATTTTAAGTAGGAAGACTATTAGAGCATTTAAAAGTGTCTTTAATGCTTGAGTGATTTTAATGCTTTTTATCAAATGTACTTATTTTCTCATGGTGACAAAAAAAATTATCTACGTGAAAATTATTTTACAAAATCAATTTCTGAGTGATCTGTGTAGGGTGAGATTTGTTATGTAATTTTAAATTTAGCGGCGGCAGAATACCTAAAACAAATATTGAGTAGGTAGGTATATAGTTGTAGAGCGTACAACTAGATGGCGCTTGCATCTTTTACTGGCTAAAGGTAATTTAACTCACTGTATTACCGATAATTCCTAGAAAAGGAAAGCAATAGAAGTTGGAGAAAGTGTCAACAGTTAGCGCTGTTAATGACCACGAAATTTGTTTAAGTTTCCTATCTATAGTATCATTTATCTAGGATTATAAATGAGGTTTGAAACAGTTAGTGAATATTAAGTTCTATTATATATAACTAATCTATGATATTGAGACAAAATGGAAAAAGAAAATAATGGTGTTGTGGTTAGTAAAATGACAAAAAAAAGCTTACGTGAGGATAACTTTGAAATATATAATTTGGTTTAATGCTCTGGGGTTATCAGCTACCTCAAAACGAAAGCACTTAAACGTCACGTTTTATAACCTCAAATTTTGATGTTATTAGCAGCATCAAAAAATGTTAACCTACAAAACTACAAAGGTTCTTCTAAGAAGTTGCTGTTAACTAGTGTTGTGTTAAACAATGCGTAAATTTTTTTATCAGTTTATATTCTCTTTGAAATATATTAGCTATATCAAAAACTCTCAAAGAAGATGTTATACTCGAGCAATTACCGGTGATCACATAACTGAACTTAATGAAAAAACTCTTACTGGCCGGCTATTAAATTACTTGGAAAGAAATAAAATTATTCCAAACAAAATTGATAGAATCACAGACACACTGGATATTTTGAAAAGGAATGATACAAACAACTTAGGGAAATGTAATACAGAGGAGATCATATCTGCTTTTAATTTAATATCAAATCGTGAATACTGTAAAAATAAAACTGAATTTTTGCTGATCTTAGATTTATTAGATTTTGAATTACGCAGAAGATTGGATCAGTTGAACACCACTGAGACTTTAAATGTTTTGCATACTTATATGAAGATTGTCCCGCACAGAATAGTAGATTATAAATTTTACGAAAATTCTATGAAAAAATTGTTTAGCGAATGTAATACTTTATCAAAAAATGATTTAATCCAGTACATTTTTTATCTTGGTTTACAGAAAAAGACTGCACGATCTCAATTTATGTTAAGAAAATGTATGAATTTGTTAAATGAAGAATTAATAAATAATTTAAATACAGAGGAGTTATGTGTAATATGTAATTCAACATTTAAAACAAGTACGAAGATCAATAACACATTAATTTTGAATAAAATTGTAAATTACATTAATAATAACTTATGTATAATGAAAGATCCTGCCATTTTTATAACACTGATTAAAGCTATAAGACACAATCGTTATCAGGATGAGGAATTGCTTGCCACTATTACTTGTACGATGTTTTTCAATAGGACTATTAACTGCTATTCATTTCCGGCATTGTGTCATATTTTAGCCGCATATTCAGATTTTTTATATTACGATGAAAATGTAATGAAAATATTTACTGAGAAATGTGTGGAACTTCTTGGAAACGGTAATTATGTTTCAAAACGTATTTATCTGCAAGAACAACCTCGAGCAAAGGATATAAAGAGATTTTTATGGTGTCTCAGTAATTTGAACTACAAAAAACTTGATAAAAAAGTCATTAGGGAAGTGATCATACCTAATGTTAAAAACAGAATTAAAATGGGTGAACTCAAGGACGATTTTGGATCTGTTATAGAAATGGCTTTATATTTGTGGATGTTGAATTATTACGATCCAGAAATTATATCATATGTATTAACAAAGCAAAATGTACAGTATATTAGAGGTAAGAAGTTTTTCAAATTACTAAAGCATAATAATTATTAGTACTAACATCTATCGTTTAGCATCTGCGGTTCCTGCCAAGCAACGATTAGATTTATTGATAACTTGTATATATTTTGAGGATCGGAAACTATATAAGGAAATAAATATTCCACTTCATACTAACGTTTACCAGAACATAGACCAGCAGCTGGAAAAGAGACCATTGCTACTCAAAGTTTTTGAGAACTTAAAGTCGATTCCTTCAAAATTTGAGGTAAATAAGTATACGTTGGAATGTCAAGTACCAAATTTGAATATCATTGGGATAACAGGGTACAGAAAGAAAATATACAAAGCAGTTCATATTGAGATATTGGACGATTACACGTGCATGAAGAATACCGATAGTTTACCATCAGGTTTGATGTCGTTAAAATTGAGGATAATGGAACAATTTGATGAGGGTATTATAGCGGTATGTATCTTCGATAAATAAAAATATAAATGAAGTTGATTCAAATACAATCTGTGGAATCAGCACATTTCTTTTTATTTTGTTGTATTGTACTCTAAATTTGTAGTCCAGTTGTTGACATAAACTTATAATTTACTACCTTTAGATTCGAGCAAATGAGGTGGAATTGATGAGCAATGAAGAACTGTCTAACTTTTTGGAAGATGAACTTGATTTGGTTTGCTAGCACCACTAAAGTCAAACTGACAAAATATTGGGCAAGTTTATTTATAAACTGAAAAGATTTGGGTATATGCTGGAGCATTTACATTACCATTAGGGAGTTTTTGCATATCGGTTTTAAGAATACCGTAAAAGAAAGTCACGTGAGAGGGCATTGCGCATCAGTTACCATTGGAGTTTATCGTTACGGTATTCCGATATTCAACCCAGATTACGGTATTAGTTTACCGTGCATTTAGGAAGTAATTTTGTGTACAAATAATCATCCATTTTTCTTTCACTTGCCGACTGCCGTTTATCGCACAAGTGTCAAATGAAAGCATAACCATCGGAATTGAGGTTAGGACACGCTTTACCATTGCGGATAAACGACATGATGTGCAAAAACTGGAAGCATTCAGTACACGCTATTTGTCAATATGGCATTCAGTCACGTGATTTTAACATTTAACATATTCGTAAATACCTTATGTAAAAACTCTATTGTTTGTACCATTTACCGTGATACTGAAATAAGTAAAAATATGTGTTCCGTGGTAGTCATGAATAGAATTGTCCGTCATTTATTTACGATATTTTTGGTACTTTTTTTATTTAACTGTATATTTTGCACACTGAAATAAAACAGAAATCTTCCAACGATTAAAGGGGCTGATTTTATGAATTTAATTTGGCTTAAGTTGAAATATCACGTAGTGAGAGTAGATAATTGTTCAAGATTTCATTATAGACATAATAACGTTTAACAATTAATATTTCAAAAACTTTTTCAAGTTTTCACAGGATTGTGTATTTGGCCAGCCACACCCTATTTTATTTGATACTGTTAAGGTTGTCGCTCACTTGCCTATTACAGCATGGTACAGCTCGTTTAATTCTATCCGTATCCGTATATTTATTCTGTTTAATACTTCCGTTCCATTCAATCCTTTAATCGGTATATTGATGGGACTGTGCCTTGCTCTAAAGGCAAGCACGTGACAACCATTTCACTTGAGGGGGTGTACCTTATAGTATCACAATTTTCTGCATTTGTTTTTTTTTCACTTTTTCTGCTTTTCCTCACATGTCCTGATTTTATGTCCCCATAAATATACTATTGTACTTATGTACAATCATTTCACAATTTTTGTTGTTATGATGATTCTGGATTTTACGATCTATATTGAACTGTTGTACTGTTATTTTTCCAACATGACCTAGATTTACCCCCAAATGAAACATGTAATTCAGTGTTGTTGCATGGGGCATGTAGCTCGCAGAATTATTTCCAATAATTTTATCAAAGAGATATTTCTGGTTAGGCAAAAGGAAGTTTATAAAATCAACCGCCAGGGGAAATTTTTTTTCAGCATGGCAAAATACCCAATTAAATAAAGTACCAAAAATGAATAGGTTGCTATGTTAAATTATTTTCAACATTTTTATTATAAGTATGTAATATTATACCTATTTATTTTGTAGAGTTGTGTGTATTATAAAAGCCTACTACGAGCTTGTAAATTTAGTTAATTACTGGTGTTCCTGTTGTCGCATCGAATTTATGTGTTTATATATTTCATCAGTCCAAAATGCGTTAAAATCATTTTAAAAACGGGACCACTCATAAAAGTAAATTTGATTTAGACTTCTAAATATCTTAGGAATAATTGTACTCCGTCCTTAAGTAGATATTCAGTTCTGTTCTTATAATTTTTTTTTTTTTGAAAAATCGTAGTAGTGATTGATTGTTAGTACTCGGTAATTCAGATTTAAAATTATTATATTTAAAAGCGTTCAGTAATGAGACTAAAAAATATTTTGTGCAACAAAATAAATAGTATTTAAGTGTTGTAGGAATGTTTTCAATAGTTATTACTTTTACAATTTTATTTTATAACTAGATAACCAGTTTATTAAAAGAGAATGTGGATTAAAAACAGAACAAATCATTACATATCTTTTCTTTATGTAGCATTGTGATTTACTAAACATATTGCAGCATGGACAGGCACTCTTGACTGATAATAAATATTGCTGTACACTATATCAAACTAATTTTTAAAGGGCCCCACAGACTACGTTCGATTCTCGCCAATTGAGTTGCGCATGAACCTGCACGAATATGTGAGAAGAAAAAAGCTGTACGGTCTCACCATCGTGCAATATCTGTTTCGGTTAGATACATAGTACATACTACATAGGCGCACTGACCACAGCGATAAATTCTAAAGAATTCTTATCCGTTTGGAATGTGAAAATAAGGCATATGAAGAACTAATAAATAAATAAAAGTGAACGAAAATGCGTCAAGATAAATTATTATTACAATAATTCCAAATAGGTCGCTTCATCCATTCATAAATAATTATACTAGTCTCCTCGTTCTACCATTAATTGGCTTTATAAATTGAAATAGGAAACATATTTTTTCTTAAAAGGCAATTCTTGTACCATTTTGTACAATTTCTTTCTTTTTTACTGCTATATTACCGCCTCCACTGCTAGGGGACATTTTCCAGTGTTTGCACTAAACGGAACGAAGTTTGTGGGGCTCTTTGAATTATACCTTCAATTCAATTCCAATAAAAAAAGATGCTCAAAACTTGTGATATATTTTGATGTAACGATTGGTATAAAAAATATGTGTATAGAAAATGCCAATTATGAAAGTAAATTCATTTTCATTCATTAACTTTAAAAAAATATAAAAAGGATGTGTTTGAATCTTAAGGATATTGACATTAATTAATGCTTTAGATGGGGATTTATTTAACTTTGTGTAAATTATACAACCATTTAAAATTAAACAAATACAGTTACATGTCTCTTATCAAGTGATGATATATTTAACATTACATTGATTGATGTCGATATCTTTTTGCTGTAACGGACTGTTTATTCATAGAAATAAATAGCTATAGGTACACTTCGCATCAAAATAAACGCATCACTAAAAGAGGTCCTAATTGTAAAGTACATTTCTTGCACATGGTTATGGTTTTGATAACCTTTTTTGAATTATAGATTGATTCATAAATAACAAGGGTAAGGTACATCTTCGGGCACCTGGTTAACAGGTCATTTCTCCAGGTTTTCCGTGTTGCAGAGAAATCGTGACTTCTTCGAAAACATTTCCCACATTTCTTGGTTCCGTCCTTTTTTTTTAGACATCAATTATACATCACCCTCTTTATTTTTAAACATCAATTATACAACTCTCTCCCCCCGAAATTAATTTCTGAATCCGTCATAGATATTTCGTGATTGCGTTTTTCCCGATCGCATGTGCAGAACGTTTTTTTTTTAGGCATCAATTATATGAACAGGTCATGTCTCCGGGTCTGTCATGAAACAGATCTGGTAACCGTAACAAGAGACGATAAGTTTTTTCCAGGAAATTCCAAAAATATAGGATGTGCCAACTAAAATAGCAAATATACCTCTTTGTCGTGGGGATACGGCCGCATAACAGCTGGATCGTTCATCGGTTGTCTCACCTATGACACACTGATGACGACTAATAAGTCCAAAACCGGTCTGTGCCTGGTGGGATAAACTGACGAACGATCCTAGCTGTTGCACTAGGTGTTGCGAGTATAATTCAATGCCGGTCGGGGCATATAGTCCGCGGAGTAGTTGTTTCTCGCAACACTGACAAAGAAAATAGATAAAATAGCAAATGTCTACTTGAAGAATCATAATGTAGTCCCATCTTTTCGCAGCATTTTGCTTTTTGGTTCACGTCATTATTTTTTCCGCTAACTGAAATATTGCTTAAGTTATCGTAAAACTGTGGTCATTATCAAGAATAAAACGGATCCTCTTGTCTTATACCGTATACTTATGATTCCAGTAATTAAACCAGAAATTGATTAATAAATGACAATTAATTAAAATCCATTGAACTCAGTTTTGGGCTTCTGGGAATTCATAAAATTTCATTGCAACTTCCTGTTCTGTTATTGAACTATGGATTTTACAATCTAGCTGCAACATATCTGATGTCAAGGGTGTTTTAAATTTCAGAGAAGAAAACTCGGTTTCTCTTGTCCCTGTATCTGGCGAAAACTGAAATTTTAGGAAAAATTTTAATCTTAACGTCATTACCGAGGAATAATCCACAAAAAAAATTCAAATCAAATTAGCCATTCGCAACAAAATCAAGTTCGAATTTAATATTACAGTATTTTTAATGTTGCGTTAACTTTGATGTGATATTTAATTTAAAATAGTGATTTATAATCAAAAAATAAACTAAGTTTGAGTGTGTTCAAACAAATTTAAATGTTTTATCGAAATATGGTTATATTTTGATAAAATCCTATAATTTATATGTAATAAGACTTTGTTTTATAATTGTCATTAAAATTAGAGCGGAATAACTATTTGCCTCCTGTAATAAGCAATAGAGAAAAATTTTTATTTCCTTGTAATTTTTATATTGTGATTCGTTTGTTATTTGAATAATACATTGATCGAATAAATAACTTATTTATTTAATAATATATACATTACATATCATGGCTTTGTTTAATTAAACGTACGTTAAATATACAGAGAACCATCGGCCGGTCCTAAATAATGTAGCGAAATCAGTATTACGTCTATAATTGTCCATACACCAAGACCCCCGAAGCTAAACAATTTGCCTATTCCTTCCTGCCAATGGCCTAGATAAAAACGATCAGCTCCAAACCCACCTAGAGTTATACTTAATGCAAGAGCAGTAGTCCATCGATAACCACCGGTCCAATTGCATTTTACATTTTTATTAAACGTTCTATGACCTGAAACAAAGTTATATCAGCATTAGGAAGATAAGCATGTTTTGAAAAATAATCATTTGTGATGATTTATTGGTACAGAATTTACATATCTGACTTACCTAAACATAAAATATCATCTTTTACTGTACAATTTGTAATGTAAGTTGATCTAGGCGAAGATATCGAATTGCAGTTTGCCTTTAAATCACAGGTATGCTCCCAGTGCTCTGTTTGATAACAATATCTACATATAAACTTTTTTTGGAACTTTGTTGCACCCTGAAATATTGATCGTGTTTTAAAATACTGCACAGAAGCTGCTACGGCCAAATACTTACTTTACAATTTATTTCTGTTATCTTGTGACAGGTTGCACTTATGGTAGTGCCATAATGACATGTTGCATTCAGTTCACATTTTATACATGGTATGTTTAAATGTTTACACTCCACTTCGTGACTTAAAGGGCAATGGAGGACTAAATCTAGCTAAAAGAATATTTTTTAATTTTTATTGTTTTAAAACATGAAAATGTTATAGAGAATATGCATCATCGACAATAAATATATTTGAAAACTTAAAAACAGGTATTTATTACTCTATTATAAAGATATCAAAAATCCTGTTGAATTAATTTATTTGATTGGCTCAATAGCATTATGAGAGTAAACAATACGAGCAAATATAAATGTACTACAAAAGAAAATTATACTGTTTTTGTAGATTTAATTACAGAATTAAAAATTAAAAAACTATGTGTAGTTGGATAATAATTTATTCAAACAAAAACTTATGTTGTATTAGTATTTTGCTGGTGACCAACATAAAAAATGTTTACTTATCTATCAACTTTATCTATAATAAGTATGCATGTACAGAGATTAAATATGTTTAATAAAACTTAAAAGATATGCACAAAACAGGACCAAATTACAGTAATATTTTAGAAAAAATTGCACCATTGTCGTCACCATAAAAACGTTTTTGCTAACGCGTTTATATAAGAATTTTGTACTAACCGGTTTTTTTTCTTCCTCATCTGTTCGTGTGTTGTTTTGACCTTTTATAAGCTGATCCATTAAATTATCAGCTGAAATAGTTGACTATAAAAGCAGTGTCAATATTTTGCATTTGAACGTACGTACCCATTTGGATCCGATTTACCACTATTGTAAGTAAAATAAAGCTTGCCTTTCTTATATTTATATGACAACATTTCATTATTTTCTTATAAAATGTATGGCATTAAAAATATTAGGCTAAATAAAATCTAGAAAATGGAAATGAAAACAATAAACAAATATCACCACAGACAACTGAAATCTAGTATCATTTATCTAGGCTGAAATCACAGCTAATGAGCTAAAAGTAAATAAGAAAGCGCTGCAGAGTAACTTTCGTTTCGAAGATGTCACCTTCACATCACCTGTTTTCCTTTTGCGGAGTATGAGACACCAGAGCGAAAAGTTTTTAGTTGCTAAGTATAACACACTCCTCATGTTAAAACGAACGGTTATAAAAATATACGGTAGGACAAAAGTCCTAAATATTTTTTGTGATGTGGCCACTCAGAGGCAAGGCTGGTATATCCTAGGTTGCTTCATAACATAACTCCGCCAACCAATGGGAACTAAGTGAGGAATTGGAACGCTTGATGTCAGTCTGTATGCTACTTTTAAATGAACTTACGAGTTTTATACTGAGCAGGTACTCCGCCATTATTCCATGGCTAGAAATTGGCCTCAATGATTTGGGATCGAGGGGGATTATCCCTCTTTATCCTGCCTCATCTCTAATCTCCATCTCTCTCATTTGTTCCTGTCTGATATTATCGTTGTTGACTGGGATCAAATATTTCCTCACTTCGGCGAGGGCATACGCGACTCGAGCGTGTGCCTCAGCTGGTGGGCCTAAAGCGGAAATTTCAACGTGCAGGTCATCGGATAAGTGACTGTATTTCGGGTCGAGGGAATTGCGGCACTCTTCCTCTTTTTGACGGTCTTTCATCGAACCTCTTCCGAGAACAGCCATCTTGCACATGGTCTCCTCCTGAAGTCGCTTCATGGAGTTGCCTTTTGGACCCAGAAGTTTCCCAACAAAATTGAACTAAAAATTTGTTTTCTAAATAATAAATCGCAAATGAAGTTAAGGTCATGTATTCTCTAATTACATATATACAGACAGAATTATCAATTTTTGATAACATTACCTTGGGGTGTTCCCGAACAGGTACCAGTACTTTAACTGTGACTTTAATAGGCTTTTCTCTGTAAATATCCACATACTTTTGCTCCTTTGCTGGTGGCCTTCCCATTTGCTGAATTTTTGTTATTTCTATAATAAAATATCCATGTATTAGTTATATCAGAAAATGTAAGGAAAGTAATCGATAGAGATTATACATTTATTAGTACGTTTTGTAGAAAGTTTAATTGTAATTTGCAGTAATTTTGTTACACACTGCAATGATCGTTGAGAACATGTTATGGCTAAAATACTGNTAATGTAACAGATTTCAACTTATAAAAGTCTTGTATTTGAGTATGGCTTGATATAACAAATATTTATTTTGACTACATTGGAAAGAGATAAAGAATAAGAGATTTCGGCTTTTTAGAATCCTTAACAAACCATATTTAGGTAGGTTTCGTTGAAAGAATTAAATATTTAGCCGATAATTGATAATAAATAAATTACTTAATTTAGTACCACAACAAACACTAAAAATCAAAATAAGTCGGAAACGCACAGGAATTTCGAGACAGAAGAATGGACATTATTTTTGTTAAACTATATGTAGATAATGAAAATAACAGTTTTTTTTTAAATAGTCATTGGCGTAGAAGTTCTGTTTAAGAAAGGGGTTGAGCACCCCCTCCACTCCGCCACCTGTGCAAGTTTTTGAACATTTTTATCGCTTGTTTTATTCCCCTTAATTAATAGGCATTATCTCCCAAACATGAAAAAAATCTAAGCATACGACGTTTATAAGTTATAATGAATATTCGAGAAAAAAAACTATATTCAACACCCCCGTATCTCGGAAACGAAGCCTTCTACGACATATGTTGATAGGAACTTTTCTTTTTAAACACATTTGTTCTATCTCCTGTTAAAGTTTGTCTACAAAAAACTGACTCACCCTGTATAAAATAATAATTGATAATTTTATTCTGTTAATAGTACATTAGTTATTAAATTTCATTTGAAATAATCCGCTAAATTTTCGGGTTTGCGCTAAATTGACAAAGTGCAACATGTACACTTTTTATCCCCCCTTTTTGAGAACAAGGAACAAGGTATATGTTTACATATTTACAAGGTTTACTGCATATCTTTTAAGATATGCAGTGCTAGGTATATTTATTTTATAGAAGGATGTGGTTTTATGTCGGTTTTAGATACGTATGTATATATGTAAATCTAATCCCAGAATAGAATGTTTTATTATGTGATCCAATGTTAAATTTTACACCTATATAGTCCTATTTTCGTGTAAGTAAGGAATTGCTTTAAACGTATATTGGGGTTGCAAATTTTCGTCCAACACCCGTATACTTTTCTGTGTGATATCAAGTTTTGTGATAAATTGTAAGTAAATAAAGCTTGATTTGTTTGTATGTGTTCCTTGTAATTTAAAGAAATAAAATGTGTATAAATAAATTCAAGGTTTAAGGACCACAGAACATTAATGTAAGAATTTAAGACTAAATTTTAATACTGTGGTTTTTATACACCAAAGACACGCCGTTTGAAGAATATACGTCGGGAAGAAATTTATGATACTCTCCTATGTGCGTCATATGGTTAGACTTCATAAATTGATTCTCAAAGGTTACTTTATTTTCAGGATAAACAATTTCTATGAAATATGACGAACAATATTATTGTTACTGGATTTGGACCTTTCCGGAATCATAATGTAAATGCGAGTTGGGAGGCTGTAAAGTTGTTACCCGATTCTTTCTATGGTTTTAATATTATCAAACAGGAAATTCCCGTTACGTATTATCATGTTGAAAATTATGTTCCAGATTTATGGAATACATTTAACCCTATAGTAAGTGAACATATTTATTTATAAACATTATTATATCTAATTAAAGTTATAAATGCATTTCTATTGCTTTCTATATTTATATAACTAATCATGCAATTTAGTTGTGCGGATTAATTTCTAGCCATGGAATATTGGCGCGCGGTTGTAGGAGCAACATTATCCGATGGTGCTTGAGGTTCGTTTTTTAAGCGTGTTCATTTTGTTTCGTGTTTTCGTATTGTATACTTGAAACGAACATTACATATGTAATATAAAAAAAATCATGATGACGGTGGTAAAACCGGTTTTGAAGGTATTTATAAATTATTTATTTGTATTCTTTATCGATCGATACAATGCTAAATTAAAACAATTTGGTCACGAACTTAATTGGCAAGACGCTTCGCATACGGCATAAAAAACTAATTTTGTAATGGGCTCTTTTCCAATTTTTAACTGCAGTACAAAATGGGAATAAGTTAAAATTATATGAGATCCGTATTTTGACTATGTATTTAGGATTCATATTGTAGTCATAAGAAAAATTTAAATACGCAGTGAGTGCAGTTTCAAATACCTATATCAAACAGTAGATTACACCTTTTCATATTATTAAAACAATTTTCCAATCCAGATAAGATGACGGATGACTATTCGTCATATTCGCCTATATGTGGAAAGAGATAGAGTGCCGAGGGTGTTAATTACAATACTTAAACTAAAAAACAATTGCGCTTTATGTCGTATAACAAAATTTATATACTATTTATTCATTTATATTTATGCATTACACTAAAAACTGCTATAAATTATTCCTACTCCTTTTTTAAGTTCGTTTTTCATGTTGGGGTTTCTTCATTTACCAATAAATTTACCATTGAAAAATGCGCTTTTCGCAAAGGATATGACCAGTGCGATAGTTCTGGAGCAACGCATCCCACAATGGAGGTGTGCTGTGAAGGAGACGATTGTATTTTAACAGGGATTGATGTAGAACAAATATGCAATTCGCTCAATATTTGCCAACAGACAAAAGCGTGTAGCTCCACCAATGCGGGAAGGTTTGCCTAAATGATTGTGAAATATTACTTAATTGTTTAATTTTGAACATTTTAGGTATCTGTGTGAATTTATATACTATACTTCTTTAAATATAAATAGAAATAAATCTTTATTTGTTCATGTCCCACCGCTTAATGAACCATATACAGCGGAGCAGTTGGCAGAAGGTCTCCTAGAAATTATAAGATGTGTTTTGGAACAACTGCAATATAATTTTATCCAAATAAATGAAGTTGAACAACAGTTTCAGTTTTAATTGTTTATTTCTTTTAAAGTTAAAAATAAATTAACTTTTTGATGTACATGTATTTCTTCTATTATTACCAAAAGTTTCAAATTCCTTTAAGTAGCGGAAGACATCATGGACAAACGACAGTCGGCTTATTTTATCGAATGAAAACAATTTCACATATGGATGAAAATGCGAAGACAATGTTTAATAGTTCCACATAAGATAATTGTTTTATCTTCTGTGAGTTCTGTGATAGTTCTACCACAGCCTCTTATGTAGGAGGCCGTGGTTCTACTACTTCTACTTAAAAATTAGCCGACCATCGATTGTCTGTCGTTCAAGGACAATAGTGACAAAAAAATTTAATAAACTATTCCACCAAATTAAATACGGAGCTTGGTGCTCTGTTCTACTAACGTTCACATTTTTCTCAAAACGAAAGCAGCTATAGGTATGTTTTGTTTTGAGTCACATGGCTTATCTGTCAAAGTCAAAACTGACATTGACAGTATTGACACAGCATAATATATATGCTTTGTGATCGTTTGGTGACGGTAGAAAGATAAGAAAATAAGTTTGTGACTTGTAATTTTTTAATTGTAATCGTGTCATTCATTTATTAAAAAGTTCTGTATGGGTGCAGGTAGTTTCATAAATTTGTAGATTTCGTTAATAACTTTGGTGAGACGACAAAATTTATAATGGATGTAGATGAAATATTACAGAAAATAGTTCGTGAAAATTCAAAAAGTGTGTCAGATGAAGCTCTTAGACTACTGTGTAAAATAGTAGAAAATATTTTAAAAGATCCATCAAACATAAAATTAAGGACGTTACAGAAGAATAATGTTACAGTATCTAAAAAAATATTACCTGTAAAAGGTGCATTGGAATTTCTTAAACTTATGGGTTTTCAAGAGGTTGGTTATTTATTAGGTAGTCATTTATAAATTAATTTAAATTTTCTTTAGCAAAAAACGTATTTTGTCCTGCCGGCCAGCTTGTCCCTTACCACTCTGGAGAAGTTTAAGACAAGTATTGTGAAGTGGAGAAAATTGGAGGAAAATAATGCATCAAACTCAGTAAGTTATTTATAATCGTGTAAGTTGCCAGTAAAATTATTTCCTGACATAAACTGGAAGTTATTTCATGATCTTTTATGTAGCATTTTTATTTAAACAGTGCATTTCAATTCCTTTTTGATGTTGAAACATCAGAAGTAAATAAGTTGATGATGAGCATGCAACCTAAAATTTCTAATTAATGTTGAACTGATGAGATATATTTTTTATACCATAAATAACAAACCTCCATCAATTTCAAAGAGACCACAAGCAGAGAATTTCAGTGGCCTGTGTTGAATTTGTTGAAAGAAGATAAAAAGCTGAAAGTAATCCTTTTTAAAAATAAGTTATTGCATTTAATTTCCTTAAAATTTGAATAAGTATAACTTAAAGAATACCACAAAAAATTCTACTTTTTTTCTTTTCTTACCTTATCTTTAACCACTTTATTCAACTGTATTTCTATGAATAATTTATTTATTAAAGAAGCCGTTTTACTAGCCTGTAATATCGTGTTATTATTTAAAATATTTAAATTAATCTTAACAAACCTCATTTGTAGTGTGATGACAAATTGCAGTTATTTGTATCATTCCTAAATTAATTACAATTATCCATCCGAACCAATGTAGTGCCGGTATATAATTGTGATGCACCTAAAATAAATTCGTAGGGTGAACAGACAAATATATAAAGATATATCACTATTATTTTCTCATCCCATTAACCTACCATCTCAAAATAAGCATAAAATATTGTGAATATTTCATTTATTAAGTAAATTGAGAAGCACACTAGTATTTGAACTGAGTATACTCTACTGATCATATTTCCCGCTTCAGTTAATATGTCATACAATGTCATAAATAATTCTACATTTCTTAACTGTGTAGCAATAAATTTCGGTTCTTCGGTGATCCATCCTAATAACAATACAAAAACCATCAATATTTATTCTGTAATAGTTAACTAAAGTTTTGAATTTGGGACTCATTGTATGCCTACCTTTCCAATTACTTTTCTCAAGTGTTTGTATAGAAAGTGTATGTCTCTTGCAGTTTTCAGATTTATATTCAAATAAGTTGTACAGTTCTGTATTTAGAACAACAAATCTTTCATGTAATAGCTTGACAAGCATGGTGTACTGAAATTCTAGAACCATCCTTATAATTATGGGAAAAGCTAAAAGAAACAACACTCGTGCGTTCAACAGTTTTTGTTGAGAATTGAAAGTGATGTAGTGTAGAATAATTTGCGTTAGTACTACTAACAGGCTACCAGTAATTATGTACATTTCGTATTTAAAATGCGACTGATGGTCGATTTTGTTAACCATTATTTTCATTAATTCATCCGCTTTTGATATTTTATTGATTACTTTGGCTATGGACGTGCTGACCAAGGTGTTCACAAAATAAATGGTATACAGTGCTAAAATGTTTCCGGTAAAGATAAATAGTGCTCCAATATATAATGTACCGATTCCATATTTTGATTTTTCCAACGTAGCTGGAGATAATATAACTTCATATATTTGAAAAGCTGTTATGCCCATATATGTCGCCGGTAATAAGATGTGTAGTTTATTAAATTGTACATTTATTTTTGCATTGTCTTTTACAAATCTTATTGATAGCAGTCCAAGAACTGAAGATAATTTAATTATCGGAATTATAGAATTATACACACTGTTCATTATTGTATTATATTTGTGCCTATTATTCTCTTATTAGTTTTTCTGACTATGAAAAACAAGACAATGAAACTCACTAAGCTGATTTTCGTATGTGTTTTAAATCCACAATATTTCGTATGGCAGAATTACAGTTTGGTGAATAAAAATGATATTGTATCAGATTTAATCACGAAATATAAATCAGTAATATGTAAATGGTGTACTCATGCTACGTTCAATTTTTAAGGCTTAATAATGCACGATTTTGGGACAAATTGCTCTTTCGGTTACGATTAATAATGTTTAATGTTTTATTTCAATTTTTGGTGGTAGATATCATCTAAATTACCAATCCGAGATATATTAGATAGGTGATTGTGAAATAATAATAATTTATTGCCTTATAATTTATTAATACACTTGACTTAAATCAATATTTATAATCTACATCATTATAATTCTACAATTACTAATTTTTCATACAACGTTAGCAACTTTATCCTATATAAAATTCATAATTTGCTTCATAATGCTTCATTATAACTTTAAATTCTCGCAGATTTATAATTTTACTTAAAATATTAGTTTTTCATACTGCTCTATGCTCTACAAAATTTAAAATTTAAATTTATAAATCTTAAAATTTAAATTTCAGTGTAATCGAACCCTTTTTAAATATGATATAGATTTTATTATTTCTGTCTTAGCACATTATACAGGATGTTTTTAAATGAAGTAGCAAAAATGGTACCAGTGAACGTAGAGCCAAAAATAAGAGGATTGAAGTAAAAATACCTTATATGAAAGTTACACCCCTGAGGCGATATACCCTCTTAAAGGAGGGGATTGAAATTCTCAATTTAATTTTTTCTTTAACATGAGGAATGCTAGAGACACGAAACTTGGTATGAGCATCCTACTAATAAAGAGACAACTTTACAATATTTGTTCGATCATTGGCGTATTTTATATAGCAGTGAAACAGTCAACCCCATTGCAATATTTTATTAGAAATTTTTTATATGAAGCAAATTATTTATTTAGAAATATTTATTGGGAAGACTGATTTATTGTGCTTTTTTACTTCTTGAAAATTTTCGATAAAACCGATAGCTTTTTAGTAAAAATACATTAGATGCGTCATCGTTTAAGGGATAATTGCGAAAATTTGTAAAAATAAAGTAGGCGGATGTCATAACAAATAAATTGTTATCATATTAATAAATTGACACTTTCTGTCAACCAATAATTAGATTAATAATTTATTATCAGAATAATTATGGCAAATAATATTTATACCAAAGACGAATATGTCGACAAATGTTTTTCGAATCCAGAAAAAATACTAACGCTGCAGTAAGATTATACCACCAAAGATATCCAAACCGACCGATTCCTCATAGACAAACATTGGCCTCAGTGGAAAGAAGGCTTCGCGAAACTGGTAAAATTCAACCCAATCATGAGGGTGCCGGAAGAAGGCATAATATCCGAATTGTTGAAACTGAGGAAGCTATACTGGAACATCTAGAACAAGACTGTGGTACAAGCACAAGACGGGTGTCTAGGCAACTGCAAGTTTCTCACAGTCTTGTTTGAAATGTAGCTCATGAAAGTCTTTTATACCCTTTTCACCATCAACCCGTGCAACAATTGAATGACCCTGATTTACCTAACCACGTGGATTTTTATCTATGGTATTTAATATTTCTAGGCATGACTTAAATTTCCTAATGAATATACTTTTCACCGATGAAGCCTAGAGTAGATGCAGTAAACCTTCATAATATTTATTTGTGGTCGGAAGAAAATACTCATGAAATATTTGTTTCAAGATGTCAACATAATTTCAGTTTAAATGTTTGGATGGGAATTGTAGGAAATACTCTAGTAGGTCCTTTTATTCTTCCACACAGGCTTGGAGCGACCGGGTATCTTAGATTTTTTAACGAAAATCTTCCAACATTATTTGAGGATGTATCCCTCGCTACACATCAGGTGATGTGGTATATGCACAATGGGACGTCTGCACATAGTACACTTGCAGTTAGAGAATGGTTAAATTTAAATTACCTGAATTGCTGGATAGGTCATTGTCGTGATGCCCCTATTTGTTGGTTTGCACGTTTATCTGACCTAACGCTTATGGATTTCTTTTTGTGGGGACATAAAAAGTATTATTTATGCCACTCCTGTTGCCTCCTTAGAAGAACTACGCTTAAGAATATTTCAGGCAGTAAATGACCTTCGCAATAACCAAGAACTGTTTGTGCGAGTACATTATAACTTCAGCAGACGTATTAGGTTATGCTTGCAGCAAAATGGAAATTATTTCGAGAATATTCTTTAAATTTATTTTGTATTTCTTGTTTTTCGTTTGTATTAAATTTTATTTCAGATAAACAACTTTACCTAATACATGTCCCATAGTCATAAGTTATCAAACATTTTTCATTAATTAATAGCAAATTATTCTTAATGTTATTATTAAAGTACCAACTCATTGACAGAAAATGTCAATTTATTAATATGATAAATAACAATTTACTAGTTATGACACCGCCTACTTTATTTTTACAAATTTTCGCAATTACCCCTTTAGTGAACGCATCTAATTTTTTTACTTGAAATCTATCATTTTTATCGAAAAATTACAAGAGGTAAAAAAGTTGCGCAATAAATAAGTCTTCTCAATAAATATTTTTAAATAAATAATTTGCTTCATATAAAAAATTTCTAATAAAATATTGCAACGGGTTTGACTCTTTTATAAAATACGCCAATGATCGAACAAATATTGAAAAGTTGTCTCTTTATTAGTTGGATGCTCATACCAAGTTTCATGTCTCTAGCATTCCCCATGTTAAAGAAAAAAATTAAAATGTGAATTTCAATCCCCTCCTTTAAGATGGTATATTGCCTCTTATTTTTGGCTCTACATTCATTGGTACCATTTTTGCTACTTCATTTAAAAACACCCTGTATTATCTCCTTTTGTAATCTTCAGTTACTGTATTTTTGACAAAAAAATAAAAATGTAGGTACTCTAAAAACAATATACGTCATCCTAATATGAATGTAAATCATTTTTAAAAATTGTTTTTGGTTTAGATGGATGTTCAGAACAATTCAAGTAATGAAAAATCAGAAGCAATCATTAAGAAAATTCATCTTCCTCCATTAGTTTTGGTAAGTTGTTTTTATTTTAAACTTTATCCTGTTATATTTTTCCCTCCTGGAATTTGAAATGATATGTTTGTGCTAAAAGCTAATTATTCCAACAATGTGATATTGAAATTACAAATTTCTGGTGAAATTGTCTCTTGAAATTGTATCATAATCACAATAAATGTTGCAGATGATCCAACAATCTAAAAATAAAGCTGTTTCAGTATAGCCCTTTTACCACCTAAGGGAATTTTTGATTAATTTGATATCATTCGACTTACACTAAATAGCAATGAACCATCTAAAATCAAAATTCCACAGATCGTATAAGAAAATTTCGTATGCAAAACACGATGAGAAAACATCATTAACTAAAATCAAATAAAATATATGTGTAAGCCAGTGAAGTGGCAGATTTATAAGAAAAATTAAGGTTTATTGCATTAGATTTAATAAAATAAAAAAATTCTCTTACCTCTTCACGAATTGCCAAATTATTATTATGTATTAGTACCTTGTGAATACTATTTCCAACGACATGTAACTAAAAAAAAATGTTAGGATATTTTATTGTACATTTTCTTAAACTTTATGAAGTTGGAGCTGAAAGTCTAACTGCTATACCCGATTTTTACAATTTTCATACCTCTCTAGAAGCAAAATGGCACGCAGCAGAGAAATTTATTACTTCTAAAATTTTTAGAATTCCCCATATTGCCCAACACAAAGCAGAGTATGGTTTTTCTGAAATCTTTTAAAAACTGATATTACCAACATTACAAGTTAAAATATCTTTATGAAACGAAATTGAATTGTAAAACTATTACCGAACTTACCATCCAGTATATGTAAAATAAGATATAAGCGGCAAGGAAAAGCTGATTACACAAACTCGGCACTAGTTGTATGTCAAAATTTCTGTTAGTCGTATTTGAAGCTTGTAGCAGCATATCGTATACTCGCACCAATACTTTTATTTTGTTCAGCATTTCATTGTCTTTGAATGATCCTAGAAGAAATTTACAATTAAAATATAACTCTACAATAATTGATGAATTCTTACTTTTTACTAAAGATTTTAGGAAACTGCTTATCATACACAGCCTTGTGTAAATAATAACAATCGTTATTGTTACTTGACAGTACATTATATTTATCACTATTAGCGGATATATAAATGCTATCCACATGAGCACAGACACCGGTTTGAAGTTCTCTACATAAATGTTGTGATTTTGGATACAAGCGATACCAACTATCAGCGACAAACCAGAAATTATTGCCACGACTTGATATATAAAATATTTTTTATATGGCAAATTTTGTCCAATACTTCTAAATTTGCTATCGACTTTGTGCAAAATCTCCATAACTTCCTTTACTCTACTAGTTTTAAAAAAACTGACCGTCAAGATAGTGTAGAAAATGGTTATACCGGCCAAAAATTGAAAAGTTATGCCAAAGTTCAATACAGCATTTTCTTCTTTATAGAAATGTTGTCCGGTAACATTATCAGAGTTGTTCCTTTTAATATACACTAAGAGATATGAATAAGATGCCATATAGAATAGTGTTATTAATTTTAATTTCTTCGGAGAATAAATCTCATTCTTAGTTTTCGGTATTATTGGAAATATCCCTACAAATGTACTTAAAAGAAACATGGGCCACATAGAATAATAAAAATTGTTTATTTCCAATTTCATGGTAATAGTAAAACCACTTCAATTTCTCAGTCTTCACATGTGATACCTTTTTTTATTTATGCTTGTCTGGATGTAATAATAAAATGGAATACATTTGTTATCAGATTTTTTTATATGATGAATAATCCATTATGCTCATAAATCATGGAATAGAGGGTGTTTATTTTTTTAATTTTCATTCGCTTAATCTTGATAAGTAATCATTTCATTATCAGGGACTTTTGTAAATTTTTTCACAATAGTAGTTTTTGTGTGAAATGTTATTTTATTGTCTTTATTTTAGACTTACAGCAATCCTCTTTTAAGGAGAGTAGAAATATTTTTCCATAATGTCTTACAGTACGAAGATAAGGAGGTTCAACAAAGGGCCTTAAAACTGGTACCTTTAGCAACACTAGAAGAAAATGCTCAAAACAGATTAAGGCATATTCAAGAACATATTAAAAAAAGCAAGTAATAAAAGAGCTTTTGTTTCTCAAATAATAATTTATATTTTTACTTTAGACAAAGGGGAAGACCCGGAAATCTCGATACAGGACACTCTCCTTTTAGAGTTGTTGCAATGGTTTAAGGAGGATTTTTTTTCTTGGGTAGACAGTCCAGAGTGTTCTTCATGTGGTGAGAAAACTGTCTTCTCGCATATGAGTACCGATTCAAGTGTGTTAGTTTATACCGACAGAGTCGAAGTAGGTGTTGAGACTATTTTTTACATTCGCTTACAGGGTGATTTTAGAGTTGAGGAATTTTTTTAACAGGATGTAGAACAGTAAATAGTAGGTAATGTTACCAAAAATTGTCTATACAGAAGTTGCAAAATCACGAAGGTATTGATAATTAATAATTTTATAAAATTTACTACATAAGTAAATTTATTATCAAAGCATTTTCAGCACTAAGTACGCAGTAAGCGTTACACAGTAAGCATTTTTTTCAGTTGTCGCTTCTTGTTCTATAAGTTTTTTAAACAAAAACAGGTGAACTTGCTTTTAGTTTACAAGGAATATTGACAAAGTGCAGCTACAAGGTGTTGTAAAAGAGTAATGAGAACATGTGGGAAGGTCTGTATCACCAAAATGATTGAAATTGGGGAAGAAATTTTAGAAAATATTGTGAAGGACGTAACAACGAGCACTAGACGATCGTTTTTGGTAAAGTTACCTATTTTTACTACGAATTTACAAAAAAATGCCTCGACTTTGAAATCACTTTGTATTTCCCTAACTAACTAACTAACTTTCCATAAAGTTTTAAAAACAAAATAACTTCCATTGTAGTTCATAGATGAATAATTTGTAGACTTGTAGTATTTAATATTGTCACATTACTGCATTTATCAGCTTTCAGCTATGCTAAACCAGAAGAAATATTTTAGCTTCATAGATGCGATACTTGCCACAAATTTACGCCATTTCCACGATATGATGACGTAAATATCCTGCTGGAAACACGTAGAGGTAGATGTGGTGAATGGGCAAATACCTTTACACTGTTCTGTAGAGCCATGGGCTGGGATGCTAGATTTGTAGTTGAGGAAGGAGATCATGTTTGGACAGAAGTCAGTATAATGATTCACAAACAATAAAATCTTAGTTTTTAGATTTATTTCAGGTTTATTCGATCGCTCAGAAACGGTGGCTTCACTGCGATCCCTGTGAAAATATTTGTGATACTCCCTTAGTGTACGAAACTGGTTGGAAGAAGCAAATTTCATATGTAATAGCTTACTCGGCAGAGGAAGTTCAAGACGTTACTTGGAGGTATTGTACAAATCACAAAGAGGTTTTGAAAAGACGGAAACAGTGTCCCGAAACTGAGCTTTTAAATGCTTTGAGTGGACTTACGTCAAAACGACAGAAGGACTTCTCAGATTCCAGAAAGAAATATTTAGCAAAGAGGCTATTAAGTGAGCTCATTGAATTTTTGACTGAAAAGTAAGTTGACGTGCAATCGAATTTTTAACTTTAAATTTTGTGTATACAGGGTGTCCCAAAAGTGACGCCCGTCCTTATGGGTATTGATTAAAGGGACAAAAACAAATCGAAAACCAAGAGTGGAAAATTTTCCGATTGTTTTTCTTTGCTGAGTTATTCAAAAAATTAATCAAAAAATTAAAAATAAACATTTGGGCTACGTTATTAAATATTTATGTAATTCAAAGCTGTATTTGCTGCAGTTGTACGTTTGTAAATAAAAATTTACCATTGCCATTGCTGCATGATGCTCCAGACTAAATTATTAGTTTCAACATGATGGAGTTCCATCACACTATGGTTTATGAATATAAAATTATCTCAATCAAAACTTCCGAGACAGATGGATTGGAAGAGATGGACTATGGCCTCCTGGATCACCAGATCTGAATCGCCTAATTTTTCTTTTGGGGTTATTTAAAAGAAAAGATTGATAGTCCGTATATACGCTGCTGTCGCGTTAATAGACCAAGAGATGCTACAAAGAGTTCACGCTTCAATGTTGAATCGTGATAATCTTTGTCTTGAAGTAGAAGGAAACTTATTTGAACACCTTTTGTAAAAACAATTTCTATTATTTAAGCACATTATGGTTAAAAATAGATATATATGCGAATGTGTTAGTAACAGGGTAGTTGTAAACAAGTGAATTTAAGATTGAATTTTATCAGGGAATTTGAGCACAAAATTCGTATATTTCGGCTAGTGAAATGTGCAGTTCTCTTTGATAAAACAGTTCGTCGGCAGAATTTACCTTGTGGTAGAAAAGAGACGAAATAATTAGACAAAGACAGAAACTTTAACTCAATGTAAGCCTATCTTACAAGTACGGTTTACTAGTCTGACAACTTAACAACTTAGTTAGCTTTAGCAATTTTCTCGCGAAAAAACTGAAAATATTTAAATATTTGTAATCATAATTTTTTTGTCAGAAAACCAAATGATGATGATTGTAAGGGCAGATCTTCAGGAGCAGCCTCTTGGAGGCTAGCCCGAGGTGAGATACAAGATGTCGAAGACCCTTTATATGTGTGGCAAATAAAGGAGGATGACATCCTCGACAATAGTATAACCATCAGATATTCTCCGTCCCTGGACAAATATGAGTACATTTCAGGTGGCACAATAATCAGGGAAGTTGAAAAGTGGAACAATGGAGTTTTTAAGTGTTCAGGTGTATTCAGGAAAGAAGAAATGGACTGGAAAATGGTATATCTTTGTAGGAAAGGTAGGGTGTTGATTTCAGATCTTAAAAAGTGTAATTTTAATGGTTTTGTAGAGGGTCGGGAGTCGGGCAATATTTCCTGGAGGATAGAACTGTTAAATTCTTCCAAGTCTATAGATAGTGTTTCGTTAGATTTCCAATATAAAACTTATGAAAATGGTGTTGTAAACACTAAAATGTCTTCCGACGACAAAGTTGTTGCAATAAACAATGGTTAGTTATATTTATTTATTTGTATTTTTATTTTATATAATTATTGATTTTTAGGTTGTGAAAATACTAAAGAGTTCTATGGATCACAAGTGCTAAGTATATCTGCTTCCCTTTCTGGAGGGAAAGGTGATGTATCATGGCAACATGCCCAGTTGTTTAGACAATCCATTGATAGCGAAGACTTTCCATTTTCCTTAAAAATAATATTTAAGTAAAAAGGCCTTAACAAATATGTATTATATGTAAAAAATAAAGAAATAATTAATTTAATGTGATTAATTTTGCCGTTATAGTAAGAATGAACTGATTGATGTTGATTATTTCTCGTAATTTCATTTCTTAACAACTCCATAATTTGGCCTTCCAAAATTCTTAAATAAATTATATTTTCAAACATTAAAAGGCCAGAATATACTACTTTAATAAAAGAGTAAAAGTCTTCCGAAAGTGTGGGTTTGAAAAGGAATTTTATTCAATATGTCTGAAACTAGGAATAAATTTTAGACTTATTTTATTCGTAACAGTATTGGTAGATTATCGTTCTCATTCTTTTGATTTGATGGCCTTTTTTGGACTTCAAGAAGAGGTAAAATGAATTTTAACAGTTCTTGTACCCCGCTAAAATGTAAGAGTCCAATTAGCTCCAATGTTTCACTGGATTCTATGTATAGAAATAAAATAAAGTTCTAATGAAATTACTTTCTAGAAGAGTTTAAGTTTGAAAACGGTTTGAGACTATTGCAGAAACAAACCTATAATAGCTTTGTTCGTAGAGAAATCACATACTTCTATATATGTATAACAGTATACAATACACATTACACAGAACTTTTCCAACAATTAGACGCATGCGTATTTCGATATAATTTCATAATGTTCAAAAATTCAAAATTGATTGCTTGGAATCGAATTTTTCGATTGCTTCTTATTATTGGAAATTGCTTCTAATGCTTTAGAAACAAAGCTAATAAAATAACTCTGTTCCTAGAGCAATCCGAAGATCTTACTGATCTTGGAGCAATCCAACAGTCGGACGCATGCGCATTCTAATATAATACATAAGGTTAAAAATTCATTATTACGAGTCAAATACGATTGTATCTGACTGTTGGATATTGATTTTAATGCACTAGGAACAAAGCTAAAAATTCTATAAAGCTATAAACTATAAACAAAGTTATACAAAGCTTTAAATTTAATTTTCATCAAAAACAAATGAATTAGAAATTGATCTTTTTAATTGTATTTCGTATGCATAATGCAACAATATTTCCATTTCTTTTTATGGTTTATTGCAATAAAAAATAAGTTTATTTAAGCGAAGGCGACTCATCGTGTCATGACACGTTATCTATTTTATGGCGACCGCGCCACGCGCGCGCCATTATTCCATGGCTAGAAATTGGCCTCAATGATTTAGGATCGAGGGGGATTATCCCTCTTTATCCTGCCTCATCTCGTGTAGGCCTGGACAGCCTTCGTAGGTGGGCCCCATCCGTCGTCTACCCCGACCACAAACGCGACCGGTGTAGGCGCTTTGTGGGACCTCCTTTTGTCCTGGCTGGCCCCCGCCGGCTAGGGCCCTTTCTTCTGGCGCTCTTCTTTATGGCGGCCGACTATTATTTTTCGGTGAATTATAAAACATTACATTTATTTTACATTCTACAGCCATAGAAAATCAATACAGAATATAATTTTCACAATTTGGCAACAATGACAAGTTCACCATTTGTTTGATCGATTCTTTCGCTAGCGGGAAATTGAAATACGACAAAATTTAGAAAATATGTATAACATTTAGTACCCCTCTAGTGATGCGTTACTAATTAAAAGTAAAGTTAAGACTAGAAAAAAATATTCTTTCTACTTATTTTCACAAAATATTTAAAAAAGCGTACAAATATTGATTTCATTTGTCTTAATATTACATCATCTTTCGAGTATTGATTTCCTTGTAACTTTCTATCCCTTCTATTCAAACCTCAGCTATTATTATTTTGTGGAGCCTTGCTGTCGCAATTTGTCGCCTACCGTCCTACCGACCTAATAGTGGTTATCTGGCGGTGCTTAATCTGATTCATTCCAGAGACAATAGATAACTAATTCATTCCATTTTGGCGAGTGGTTTGACTTTGACGTATAGATGGTTGCGTTGCATGTTGCATTGGATAACGCCCAGAGTGCTTAAATTTCTTGTCATCTGTTACATATTTCGCGGATCTAATTAGTTTTTATTCTCTAATTTGTTACAATAGCGATGGAAGGGACAAAATTGGAGATATCCGGCCAGGCAAATAATGAGACCCGTTCCCCTACGGCGACATATAAACCCATACCAGAAAAAGACATGGAAGGTAAGAATTTTATAATTACCTGTAATTACTGAAAAAAGTCGCTAAGGTATCGCTTTCCTTTTCAGAAGAAGCAGCTTCGCGTTCTAAATCTCTGACAAAGGTCAAGTCTGGTAAAGAAGCTGACGGTGCAGATGAAAAAATGCTTCCTCAAGATGACGATAAAGTTATCAATTCTGGTATCGTTCTTTCAGATGTTAAAATTTCTCCTAATGAGAAACAAAATGGGGACGCAAAACTTGATATTGGTAAGAATAAAACGTTTGAATTAATTGATTAACGGAAATGTCATGTTTCATCGTCAAATGAAAGATTTTTCGTTCAAGGATTACATCATTCGGAAATGCCTATTGTTTTTTCTTCTGAAATTTGGAATTATTTTACAGATTGCTTTTTTTATTGAAAGTATTTTTTTTTTAATTTCTTGAGCTACAAATTATTGGTAGTACATTATTTTCTTATAATATAATTATTTTTTAACTGAACAGAAAAGTGTTCCTCAAATAAGTTTGAGACAATAATTTAGTATCGGGGTTGAACCACACAGTATGGGAAATCCCAAGAAATTAGATAATAAGAAATAGAGGATGTTTTGTGGAGGGAAATACAATGTACACATATTTTAGAGTTAATAATGTTGCTTGATTAACATTTTACTAAAAATGTTGTCAAATTAGCCAGAGTGAAAATAAACAAAAAAGAATATTATAAAAAAATTCCAATAATTTTCACTTTATTCTATTTATATCTCATTGATAATTGCAATTTCCAAGCAATTAACACTTATTATTGCATTAATGTAATCGCAACTATCAAAGCAACAATAAGTGATCGGTACTACCCAGAAACCAAATTATTATGATTTATTCACCAAATTGTAGGTCTAATAATGTTTCGAAAATAATTTCACCACTTTTTTTAAACTAACGGCTTGGTGACAACTAAGAAGCTGATATGTCGTAGAATATTAAATGTTCTTTTTCGACGGGACAGGAATATAGGTTGTTCTTTTTTATAATTGATTTTATCCACGACTATTGTATAATGTACCCATTATACGTCTGTTTGCTCGACCTTAATAATACCCATTAATCACGGCAGTGATTAATGAGTCATTAATCACTACTGTCAGATGCTTCCTTAATTTAGCTATAATATTATATTGTTCTGCTACAAACAATCTGTTTTTAAAATTTTATCGTGTAAACCACTAAATATTTTCAATTCAGTGCTGTACTTTGTTTGTGCGTGTCGTATATCAGTTTCTTAACATACCATGTTTTTCGAAACATTTCATAAATCTAAGTAGCTTTTAAAACAAAACAAATTTGACTCAAACCTGTCAACATTATTGTTTGTGTGCAAGATTTCTCAGTGTTTTGATATTTTGTGTTAAATTCTGTTAAAAAACGAACCAAAAATGGATATAGAAAATGAAAATGACTTTTCTTTAACACCACCAGAAATTAGAGAAGCTGCTGAAGTTGCCTCATTAAATTTGTTGCCGGAAAAGTCAAGGAAAGTATATAATATGGCATATGAATCTTTTTTGAAGTGGCAAAAGGAAAAGAAAACCACTTCATTTTCTGAATCGACTTTGTTAGTATACTTCACTGAATTATCCACAAAATATAAATCTTCAACACTATGGACCTATTATTCAATGCTTAGAAGTACGATCACCTTACATCAAGATATAAATTTAGAAGATTATAAAAAATTACGAGCATTGCTAAAACGAAAATCAGAAGGTTTTCAGCCTAAAAAAGCGAAAACTTTTTCTGGCGAAGATATCAATAACTTTTTAACTAAAGCATCTGATGATAAATACCTAGCAACAAAGGTAAGATATTAAGTAAATCTTGCACATAGTTATTTCATTACATTCTGTAATTTAAGGTTGCTTTAATAATGGGAGTAATGGGTGCATGTAGAAGTAATGAGTTGTATGAAATGAAAATAAGCCATTTACAAGATTTTGGATCAGCTTTTTTGGTTAATGTGCCAAATACTAAGACAAAAATTTGCCGAAAATTTACTGTTACGGATAACTTTTACAAAATATGCAAGACATATATAAGTCTTCGACCAAGTCATGTAACCAGTGACACATTCTTTTTAAATTTCCAAAATGGTAAATGTACAACTCAGAGAATTGGGATAAACAAATTTACAAAAATGGGAAAGGATATCGCTGCTTTCCTCAAATTGCAGAATCCAGAACAATACTCTGGGCACAGTTTCCGCAGATCTTCTGCAACAATACTGGTTGACGCAGGCGGGGATATTACTGCTCTCAAAAGACACGGTGGATGGAAGTCCACCGCCGTAGCAGAAGGCTACATAGACGAATCCGTCAAAAATAAAACCAATACGGCCAACAAAATATCATCTTCAGTTCAACCAAAACTAAACCAAACGAATCAATGTACATATATTTCAAATGTTTCAAGTCACCGAAACATTAGTTTTGATGTTAATTCTATCCCTCCGATTAACTTGACCAATTGTTCAAATATTACAATTATTAATAACATAAATATATAGATTTTTGTATTACTTATTATGAGATATTATACGATTATTATAATTTTTGATAACTATGTACTGTGCATAAATGAACAATAATGTGATGTATGAAATATTTATTAGAATAAAATAATAGTGTTTCTTAAAAAGTGTATGTAATATAACAAAATTTTCCAACAAAAAAAAACTTCAACAAAAACATTTAGTAGTCGTGGATAAAGTATAGTATTCTACTCCCGTATAATGGCTATTATTCACTCGGTGATTTAGGCCACTCGCCTGCGGCTCGTGGCCGTAAACTTCACCTCGTGAATAATACCCATCATTATACGCTCGTTGAATAATATACTATAATGCCATCTAGTTAAAGCTCAAACTAATCATGGCGTTGCACTTTAAAATATCTAATCTGATTTTATAACAAAACAATAACAAATTAGAGATAATGTGTCAGTAACATTTATTTGAGTTTTATTACTATTTGGACAAAACGTGTATATTTTTATAAAATTATTGAAAAAGTTCAAAATGACGAAGTAAAGAGATGGCATGTTGGAAAATAACATAACCAAAAAATAATGATAAACATATAATTTGTTAGATCTCAGGATGTCGATCACACTTCCTAGGATGCTGACATTGCTGACGATCTACAAACGTCAAAATTTGTAGGCAAGCATCAACTCTTACTTTGACTTATCTGATAGTGTAGCTTATAAAATCATTGTTGATAATATATGCCAATTTTACCTAGGCCTTTAATAAAGTCTTGTATGTACTTACTATTAAAATACACACACTTAGTTTATTATGGTTATTTAAAAAGATTAACTGAATTAAGATTGACAAAATCTTAATCCCTAAAATTGTTGTGTATTAGTCAGTAGTAAATTACATGTATGTAATTACAGAATGTATCTGCAAATAGAAAAAAAATCGATCAGTACCTCGCATTAATGATCTTTAATTCAGCTAAACTTTGTGATAAAAAAAATAGTTGTAGAAGTATATATGAGCCAATAGTTACTTTGCCTTGAGACAATTACAGTTTTTATCGCCATTCTAACTACAATATTTACATTCCATTTCATTATCAGTGCTGTATTTTTTCTATAATGAAATTTGTATTAAATACTTTAAACTGCGCAGGGCAAATTAAAATTGTAAATTTATTAATACGATTTATAAAATATCCCTTATCGTTAACTATAAAATCTAACTTTCTTAACGACAGAAGATAAGATATAAGTTATTAAAAAGAAAATATATTTATTGTGCCTGAAATAGTGTTGTAGAACGTAGAGATTTTTTAGGTGAGCCCAAATTATTTGGAGGAATGGATAAAGAGGAATTAATGAAGTATGCAAACGACCCGTTTTGGGTTCGTCTCCGTTGGTTCCTTTTCATTACTTTTTGGGTATTGTGGGCTGCTATGTTGGTAGGAGCTGTATTGATTATCTACGCCGCACCAAAATGCGATCCTCCGCCACCCAGAACTTGGTAAGAATCAGTATACTTAGCTTCTATATCACAGTTGAATTGCACAAAATACAAACCTTAAGCAAAGAATATTAATTTATTGAGATAATTTAATAATAATATGTGAGATGTCTGTAGAATAAGTTTCGTTTGTTCAATATGTAATGGAGTACCTCAAAATAAACACAAAAGTTTTTTGCGACCTAGATCCTAAGTCCTTCCATTTAAAAGATGCTTAAAAAAGGTATTGGACGTTTTTCAGTTTGTTCACTATTGAATATTATTAGATTGTTAGACTTGGATTACACATTAAAAATGTCATAAATTATAACAAATTTTTGCATAAAATAAGGGATGTTTGGAATATTAAATTATTATTACGCTTAAAGATAAAAAGTTCTAGCTAATTTTTTTATTTTGTAAGCATTGATTTTGAACTTGGTAAAATTCCATACAAATTAATCCATTAAGTTTAGGAGCCATGTTGTATAAAATTTTTTTGTTTATTTCGATGCGTACTTACTGTCACAATGACATATTAAATGTACGGCACTCATCCTGCGAACACCCTGTACATTTCACTACTGTATTAAAGGTGGCAAGAAGGTCCTTTAACCGAAATTCAACCGGACACAACTCCAGAAGATCTAAAATTAATTGATAATAACGTGAAGGGAATTATTGTGAATTGGCTCGAAGACGCTTACATTGACTTTGATGAATCTCACGATATCATCAAACTGATCAAGCAGGCAAAGGATTTGGAAAAGAAAGTAATTATTGATTTAGATCCGTCTGCTTCAAACATTTGGTACGAGGATAGTGAAAGTAATAAGGAAAGTTTGAGCGATTTCTATATATGGAGGCCTGCTAAAAATACTGCAGATGGTGGTGCTTCAGTACCTAATAATTGGGTAAGAATATTTTTATAAACATCAGAAAAGATAAATTCACTTTCTCTTCTCTTTATTGTTTAGGTGAAAAGAAACTTTTTTTTAATAAATAACCCTTTGCATCAAAAGGATCAGTCAAAGGATTGACTTTATATATTTAGTTTTGAATAACCGTAAATATATCACTCTGAGGAAATAGACGATGTTAGTGCGAGATATTTCTGGTGGTAATAAACCGAAGACTAAAATAAATGTAATAAAATAAAGACATGACACGAAATATTTGACCATTCTCTTTTTGTTGCAAGGGGTCATTGACAATCACAGAATCACATACTAAACACAGTGCTTTAAAAATGTAATAAATACTTTTTATTATAAACGTGGGTTTTGGAATAGTGGGTTAGGATTTAAAAAAGTAAATCAAAATATTGCTCTCATTTCATGCTACTGTCTTGTTTTTTTAGTTAAACGTAAACAATCAGTCGTCTTGGAAATTTTCCACCAAAAGACAAGAGTTCTATTACGCGCCGTTCGACAAGCCTCACCTAAACTTTAGAAATGAAAACGTGACTAAAAAATTCTCCGATGTGATTTCAAAGTTCCTAGAATACGGCGCGGCTGGGATCCGCATAAAAAATGCCCCCTTCTTACTCGTCGATCCGGAATTCAAAAATGAGGATATCGCAGTGGGAGCCTCGGCCGTTGGCTTCGGCCTTAAACAGCACAACTTCTACACCCACAAACGAACACAGAACCTGCCCGAATTAGGCCCATTGCTGAAACAGTGGAGGGCGGTGGTGAAGAACAAAACGGGGGATGGACCTTTCATGGTAGAAGAGGAGTTAACTAAAACCAACGTTTATAGGGTTAACACGGCCTTGATGGTCGATTTGCCGGTTCAAGCTCACGCGTTTACCAAGCCGAATATTTTGGTCGGCGAATTGATTAAGAGCTTGAATGATACGTTCAATATAGAAAATATCGAATGGCCACTGTGGGTGGTAAGTTTGATCTAATCGTGCGATTTATTTCAGTTCTTGACGTTGAGCTTTCAGGTAAACACTACAGCATTGCCCAAGGATGTTTTAAGCATATTGACGAATTTATTGCCTGGCGTACCATTAATAGAACCAACCGATGTTCCGAATAAGCATCTTTTAAAAATACGGACTTCGCCTTCCGTGATGCGGGGCATTTGTAGTATTCACAGTGTGAATAACGAAACCGCGTTTGGGTTTATTAGGTAAGTTTTAATCTACTTAAATTTTAATTGAAATTTGTCCCTTATCGAATTTTTCATCAGTAAATTAAAGATGTGTTTAGTCGGCAAATTTAAGCTTTTGCGTATTAGTTTGAGGGCCAGCACGAGATGCAGGTTAAGCGGACATGAATACGAGGATTTCATGGATGTCCTCTGTCATCGTGCTTGTTTATTGGTAAATAGTCACCTCTGGACATTAAAGAGATTCCGGCAGAGCTAGTGCTTTCCTTTGCACAAAGCACAGGCCTGTTTTAAAGTAACTCTTATTAGCGGCATGCACGATAGATCGTAAAACTGGACTGCTGCAGGTAACTGCGCTATCTGTCATAACAAAATAATTTTTTGTTTTATCTTAAAAAAAGTTATAAATATATGAGAGTATTGAACTGATCACTCAGTAATTTTTTTATTTAATTTTATTTTTTATTTCCTAATTCTTGCTATAGCTAAATAAGAAGGATATCTGTGATGCTGCATTGTATGTGAATCCAGACTAAATTAGCAACGTGGGTACCTTTTTCTCTGTCATAGCTGCATGATAAAGTTTAATATCTGGCAACACTGGAAAAAATAGTGAGTGGTATTTGAATCATATTTTTTCCATTAGCTCGAATTCCTTAAACGATTTTTAACTGCACACACGTAAGTAATTTTTTATAACTATGCACTGTGACTTTTTTCATTAAATTTAAAAATAAAGTAAAAACAAAGATAAAGTTAAATTTGCAGACTGAACACACCCAAAGTCGATAAAATAAAGATAAATTTATTTATTAAAACAAATTTCATGCATTTTCTTCCTGTTTGGAATAGACAAAGGTAAGTGCATTATGATTTGCTTATTTAGTTTGAAACATGTTGATATCATACTATCTTTTTATTTTTGTCACAAATATCATGTATTTATGTATTTGTTAGACGGTGTTTAAAAAATCAAATTTTTTTTGGTACAAACTAAAATAAGGAATCTTGAAAATTATATACAGGGTGCAACTTTAAGTGGGCATCATAATTTACACAGAAGCTATCTTTGACTTTTTGAAACACTTAGTTTATTTTCAAATTTCGTCGTAAAAACATAATTTTTTTTTAAGACCATTTTTTAATAACTTTCCTACCCCGCCTCTGGACAAGCTAGTGTGATCTCAAACAACGGCATGCTGCGCATGCACAATTGACAACTGGACTATGCATCATTGCCAAACCTCATAATTTAAAGAAAATATTATTAAAAAGCAAATTTCACATCACCTGGCAGTGAGGAATACAACTTCATACGTATATTCCGGAAGCGTTGGTTTACTCTGTTCAGTGGCGGCGTACACAAGAATTAAAGCGCAGTTTAAAAAACTAATTATAGCTCGAGTATTTATTTCATTAAAAAAAAAGAATTTCAGGTTTGTATTCAGGGAAACATACTATTGCCCTAAAAAACTGACCCCCACTTAAAGTTACACCCTGTATATTTTAATATTTGAAAAAATTAGACAGAATGATAAGAAACACTACTTTTAATGATAATAAAACGTAACACATTTTGAAATACATCACTTTCAATTTTGATCTACAGAATATCCATAATCCATAATTAAAATCTAACCGATCTGATAAATATGCTTTTAATATTTAATGCGGAGATACAAAATTGTCCCTGAAATAAGTTAAATTAGAAAATAGTTGTTTCTGTTCATGTTTAAGGATATCGATAATGGGAAATGTGTTTTTTTCAAAAACACAACATAATTAAATTCTGTCACTCGAATGTGGAATAAAAACATTTTAGTCATGCACTGCCCCATGACAGTCTAATAATTTTTTTCCTCAGAAACATACCCCTATTTTAGTTTCGGCTCGTGACATCGAGAATAGGTGAAACATATTCATTGATCGACTAACATTTTCAAGGTCAAATGTCTTTAAATGAATTTGTAAATTCTTAGTTGCATTTGCAATATTACCGAAAAACTGACGTTCGTGAGAAGGATTTTCATTTAGATTTTATAAAAAAAATGGAAATATTAGTTCGGCTTGTGGACTTCTGCGAACATTAATGCACCCCGTACATCTATGTTCCAAAGAAGCTTTGTGGTTACAATAGCCTTGTGCGACGTTCGCAAAATTGTTAAATCCCTCCTTATTCCACATGCCCGACTTTACACCCACAATTGGACATGGCATACAGAAAAGTTTTTTTAAATAAACACTTCCACACAACCACTTATACTCGGAATACCATTCATTCTGAAACTTCCGAATACATTGTTTTTTGACTTCCCCTTTTTTCCATATCGAGAGAATAAGGCACAGGTCTCTCGCAATTTAAAGAATCCTTTTTGTCCTCAATTTTTCATCTGGAAAGTGGCGTTTCCAATAAAATACATACTGGATCATACATATGAAACATTTCTACAATTATTATACAAACCAAATATTAACAAACGAACTGTTATATTCGTGCACTGGGCGACGCGTATCGTATAAACTGTTTAAGGAAGTTCGATACCCAAAACAAAAATGGTAAGAAAGTTTTCAAAGCAATTGAAATCTGTTAATAAATATACAAACTGCCTCATGAAAAATGATATTAAATTATGCTCTTATACACAAGCTCTTATGGGAGTTGGGAAAAAACTTTAATCAAACATGAATATTGCTCTTAAAAATGGTTAGGATCGGGAAAATAAAATTGTAATTGAAGAATTAGATATTACTAAACATTTTAAAACAATATATATGCACTTACAATGTAATTATTGAGATAATGGAATGAACAGATTACATTTTGACAAATCCGATGAAAGGAAATATGGCAACACTGTACACTGTATTTAACGCTTCGACTGACGTGCTGTATTTGAATACCTGGATTATAGACTATAAAATTATTCCAGTCAAAAACGTATGTAGTAATAATAAATATTAAATCAATTTTTCGTGATTTAATGCAATATAATAGTAATTTGAAACAAAAATTGAAAGGATCTCTTTGCAATACGAACAGTACAGATGTTCTGTCATTCAATTTGACAAAGCGACGTCTCACTACGATACACTTTTTGATAGTTATCATATGGATTCTCGATTTGCACATTTTACTTTTTTCTCATCAATCGAAGGCAATGTTTTTTTAGAAGGCATTCAACGCACAATTATTCTGGTTATTTCTGCGTATTAAACAAACACAATACATCTTCAATATAGAATTATATCTAAATTATAAAGTTTATATAAAATTAAAAATAATTTTAAATTGCACAACCAAACGGAATTTTTAGGTGAAGCGATGCGTCACCTGACGAGCTGCCACTGCCCTATTTTGATGCCTCTAGTTTTTTTTTATATTTAACTGTTCGAGATATTAACAATTGAAAATCACTCCTGAAATTCTGTCTTATTATCAAAAAAAATAAATGAATTAGAGAACATTCTTCTTTAAAATGAATAAGGTATTTTGCAGAATGATATGCTAGAAATCTTATTGTAAATTTTGTTAAGTTGGATGTTTTGCTTGAAAATTTTGTCTTAATATATAATTTTTTTCAACAGGGTTACTTCAGGAAATCCCGGAGTGTTAGTATTACTGAATACTCAAAATGAAAAGGTAACCGTAAACGTTCCAAAAGAAATTCCAGCCTTGTCTTCATTGACAGAAGTAACTGTGCAGCTTTACAGTGAAAATTTCAATGAAACGGAGTTCTTGGATGTGAAGTAAGTATAATTTATTATGAAATAAGTAAATAAAAATTTCTCAAACAATTCATGTGTATTATATTTTGTTCATTCTAATGTTATTGCTAGATTACATGTAATTTTTACGTAATTTTTAGTGCCAAGAAGGATGCCAGGGCGGTACCGATATCACCAAAGTCTGCTATAGTATTATCGTATGTTCCGAAGAAGAAGGAATAATCGAGTCAAACAAAATTCATAATTACTGGAGTAATGCTCATTTGCTTATGTAATAAATCGAGTAAATAAAAATGTAACTGCATCATCCTTGCTTTTATTTTATTCGACCATATTTTCAATATATTTTTCTAAATTATGTATGTATGTAGTATCTAAAGTATCCCGAAGAATTATGACAAACACCTGAAAATAAAACTTTATTTTTGTTAATTTTAATGACTGACGAGGAATAAACACCTAAGAAATAATATTTGATTAGCATATTAGCAGCATATGCTATTTCTAACAGTTATTTAATGTAATTTTAACCCATATTGCTGTGAAACAACTACTCTGCAGACTACAGCCCTGTCCAGCATTGAATTATACCTGCAATGTGTAGTAAACACTTATGATCATTTGTCAGTAGAATCGCCAGACATATATCAGTTTCCCATAAGACCATTAGTTAAAAACTTAATTTTGCCTAGCGCGACAATGGTCGTGCTTTATGTATCAACATAGTATAATACAAATCAATACAGACGTAGATGAGTAATTTTTTTGCACACCTCGCCAATCTACTTTAGATCATGGGTGCAGTCAGAGGGCACACTGCAAATTTCAAAGTGTTTAGGTTCTAAAATTTTATATCGGTAGGTCGCTGATTGCGTGACCTTTTTTTTTTAAATCAACCAGAAACCTGTATAGGTTTTGAAATGCGGGTTTTTTTATTGAGAGGCGTCCATAGATCTTGCAGCGCTGGGCTCGCCACTAGCAAAAATCCTAGCTACGCCATGCATGGTAGTGTTTGTTTACATCTATATCTTTCGTGAATAAGGTGAAATTACTGCTGCATTATCAGTATTAGTGAACTTGTTTTAATTCTGTTTAAAACAAAGCAGTAATTTATTATGCTTGGAAAAATGCAAGGAAGCTATAGTCCCACAACACATGAGCACATACTCCGTTTCAACATGGCTGACTTGCTCAAGGTCAAAATTCTTTACTCCTTTTAAAACTTATTCACAACAAAGTGTTGTCCGTGGTGATTTATCTATGGTATCTACATATTAGTAGGTCACTCTCTGCCAGTAGGTACAAAGAAATGCTTTATGCCGGTAGGAATTGAGTACTATGTATGTATGTATGTATGTCGGAGGGGATGGAATTGTCTTCCACCGTGGCACTTGGGCCTTATTAGGTCCCTTGTACACCCTCCTTCATTACTCGAGTACTTTTCTTCAAACCAGCCTATTTTACTTCACAGGTGGCTTGGTGGCAAAGTCTCATACAGTTTATGTATGATAGCATGGTCTTGAGTTACAGAGATTTTCTTGTTCTGTTCTCATTACCATTTATCGGGGACCACACGCGTGCGGCAAATGTTGGGCGACCCAGGCTCTGGTAGGCTGCCACAGCCACGTCCCCGAGCCTGCCTTAGGTCACCCATCCAAATTCCAGCCCATGTCCGTGATGCTTGCCTCGGCAGATCGAAATCCGCCGGCCAAGACACCCGGCTAGGCGGTCCCCCGAATTGAGTACTAATGACAATATGAGATACTTTATAGGTTATATCTCATCCACATCCTAATAATGTAAGGTAAGTATTTATACTGGGGTGGGCTACCAGTAACGCCTCGTTGACTAGGGACCAAACGGCAAATGTTATAGAAACCTGGTTAGGTGGGTATGTGTAAGTTGATTATGGCTACATTTTAAAAATATTTTGAAATATGCAGGGTATCCAGGGAAAGCGTACCATGTCAAAGTTATGTATTTTTAAATGGAACACCCTGTATTTTACTGCACTTTTGAAAGCACTGTAAAAAAATAGGTGAACTTTATTAAAGGTTCTGCATACCTAGGACTTATTGTTTGTGAGATATTTCAATTCTAGTGAAAATGCAGGCTTAGTGTAGAAATTTTTAATATTAGTTATAAAAAATAATTTTAAGCAAGCAGCTTTGGAGAGTGTATTTTAGATCCTTGAAGCTATAAATTATTATATTTGTCGTCATTTAGGGTACAGGGTGTTCAAAAAACTGGTGAATACTTCTCTCAATTTTAAACAGCAATAACTTGGTTATTTTAAATGGGACACCCAATATATTTTTACTCTGGAAGTTAGGAAATTTAAAACTTTCGAACTGTGTATAGGTTCCCTATACTTATCTCTAACGGTATTGGAGATATTTGAGCCTTTTTTTTTATTGAATTTTTTGTAAGATGTATCCATGTGTCTTTATCGAGGTCTATTGAATTTGTAAAGCGTCAAGCATGACAATATTCAAGAAAGTTTTCTAACAAAAAATATTTTATAAACAGAATAATTATAAAAAGTTATTAATTTTGTATAAATATCTTCGTTGTACGTAACTGAATTAAATTAATTAGGAACAATATGAAAAATATTTATTAAAGGAAATTTTACTTTTAGAAGAAACAAAGAAAAATTTTATTTGATGATCGAATCAATACCCACTAAACATTTTTCAGTTTCCGACATGTTTCAGAAACGTTTCCATTTTTCTTGAAACGTTTCCAAAAAAATTCATGCAACATTCTGGTAACGTTCTAGAAATCCAAGATGTCCTCCCCAAAATACGTTTCCAATGAAATGTTTCAAAAAATTGGTTTCAGTAACATTCTTTTTATGTTCCATTTATGCACTCGATATTTTTGTTTTACGTTTCAGTATATTTTCAGAAATGTTTGAGTAACATAATAATTTTATTACCATATTGTTCTCATAATGCGCTCAACTTTAGATAATTTTCACTTCAAAAGCGTTTTTGAAATAGTATAAATAGTGTCAGTAATTTTTAAAATATTTCTAATACTCTTTTGTGATATTTTTATTTGTATTATGAATGACTTAATTCGAACTCGACAACTTCTCAAAAAATTTAACTAAAAAAAGTTGTTACATTGTATATTAAAAAAAATAATAAATAAATAAATATGCTCTTCTAGTTTGGGGATGCGGCAACTTTTACCAAGAATTTCTTTCTTTTTGAGAAGGCACTGAAAAAAGTTTCTAATATGGATTACGAATTTTGCCATTCATCGTACAAATAAAAATGTCACAAAACAATATCAGAAGCATTTAAAAAAAGCTACACATTTTATATTGTTCAAATACGCTTCTGAAATGGAAATTTTCTAATGTTGAGACCATCATGAATATGGTAACAATGACGAACTGATAATTAGAAAAAGTTAGTTATGATTATGAATCTTGAAATGGTAGGTACATGAAAAACAAATAACATTACTGAAAAATAATATAAAGTTATAATTTCTTCTACGCATGGTCAATATTACATATATCCTTTTAATAATAATAAATTATACAGCAGAAATAAGGATACAAAATGATATCTTGACAAAGTAAATATCTGTAGGTATACCTAAACTCTTTTATTTAAGCATGCCTATACACATAAACAAATATAAACATTTGTACAAAATATAAAATAAATGACGTCTATTTCACTTGATTCATCCATATTTCAAATAGTTATTCTCACTGACTAAGTGTAGTTGCTCATCAAATTATATCGAAACATATAGTTCCATATTCCATTTTCATAGTTCTTGTCCCTTGTCCTCGTCTATAATAGGTAGTGGGTATAACTATGTTTAGGTACATGTGTCGCAAAATTGGAAATCTCTACACATATCGTTTTAAACATTTTGCATCAATATTCATTATTTTATATGCACCTTACAATAACCACAACTGCACACACTACAAATTATCACATAAAATAGCGTCAAAGTAAAGATGAATAACAACGAAACCAAGCAAACTGACAAACCGCAAACCTAACCTAACATAATACGAATTACGAATTGAAAACGACACACGGGATCACGGGAAACAAATAAACTCGGGCTATTACGCGCAGTCTACGGAAGTCACGAACATACATTTTTTCTAGACTTGTTCTTGTTATAAATATGCCAGCACAATTTTTTTTCTGTTTATGTCTGTTTGTATAACAAAGGCAAATGAACTAACGCTTGAGAGGGATTGGGGATTGGGAGCAAAATTTAACTAATGTCGAATGTTCCATAAGATAAGCAAAAAAAGCAAAGGGTTGTTCGTCTGTTATATGTTTTCGAGATCGAAAGGGAATGTTTCGAGTAATGTTTCAAACTCTCTTCAATTGGAACGTTTTGGCTATGTTTCACTAAATAAGTTTTCAAGTGCAACATTTCTGTAATGAAACAGAAACGTTTCTAGTTAATGTTTCAAATGTTTAGTAAAACATCTCATTTGCAACGTTTCATTTACGTTTCGTGTTTAGTGGGTAACCATTCTCTTGAATACAGCATCTTATTCTATCTTTAAATTATATTCTCACATTCCTTAGAATATATGGGGTGATTGTGGCAAGTGCATCTCTAATCCTTTCCTTCATATCATCGCAAGTAGTAGATGGAACACTGTGTACAAGATTTTTTTATATAGCCCGAAACAAACAAGTCCATTACGGTGAGGTCTGGATACCTAGGTGGTCACTGACATGCACCATTCTTACTTATCTATTTATTACTAAATTTTCGATTTAAATAATTTCTCACTGAATCTGAAAATTTTGAAGGTACACCATTTAATTGCATCCTCATTTTTCCCCTTATATTTAAAAAGACGTCATCAAGAAGAACCCAAACCAATTCAATAAAGACCTCGATGAAGATACGTGGATACATCTTACAAAAAAATTTGATAAAAAAGAAACGGCACAAATATCTCCAATACCGTTAGAGATAGGTATAGGGAACCTATACACAGTTTGAGAGTTTTAAAAATTTCTTAACTTCCAGAGTAAAAATATACTTGGTGTCCCATTTAAGTTGTTACCACTTTGCAAAGCTGCTTCCTTAAAATTATTTTTTTATTGCTCATATTAAATTTACGCTAAGCCTGCATTTTCACTAAAATTGAAATATCTCACAAACAATAAGTCCTAGGTATGCAGAACCTCTTAATAAAGTTCACCTACTTTTTTTCAAAAAACGTAGTAAAATACAGGGTGTTTCATTTAAAAATACATAACTTTGATATGGTACGTTTTTCCTGGACACCCTGTATATTTCAAAATATTTTTAAAATGTAGCCGTAATCAACCTATACATACCCACCTAAACAGGTTACTATAACATTTGCCGTTTGGTCCCTAGCCGCCGAGCGTTACTGGTGGTCCACCCTGTATTGTGTTATTTTAGAACAAACATGTTGTAAAATTACTATATTCGCCATTATTCTATGGCTAGAAATTGGCCTCAATGATTTGGGATCGAGGGGGATTATCCCTCTTTATCCTGCCTCATCTCGTGTAGGCCTGGACAGCCTTCGTAGGTGGGCCCCATCCGTCGTCTACCCCGACCGCAAATGCGGCCGGTGTAGGCGCTTTGTGGGACCTCCTTTTGTCCTGGCTGGGCCCCGCCGGCTAGGGCCCTTTCTTCTGGCGCTCTTCTTGCTTCGCCGGCTCGTCTGTGTAAACCCCGGGGGTAGTGTCATGTTTATGTGTGGTATGGTTGGGTAGGGTAGTGCGGCTATGCAGCCTGGGATGCGCTTTGCTAAGGTGGCCCTTAGGCTAGCGCGGGAGGGGAGGGTTAAGGAGGGTATGGGGGGTGTGTGTGTGTGTGTGTGTGTGTGTCGTTGTCTTCGTTTCTTGATCCTGGCTGTCTCTGAAACAGAAAAGGTTAGCGGGCAGGGGGGGGGTCATTGGGGTGGTCACCCAGGGTCAAAAAGTTGGTGTCTAGGTCTTTTGTGTTTGTCGGTCACGTCGGGTACGTAGTCAACGGCTTGCCTGAGGAGGGGATTGTCATGTCTAGCGGCTACGTCAAATCGTTTCTCCGCGTTTTGTCTTATTGTCTGTGTAGCGTTTGTGTATTGTAAGTCTCGTAATATGTCAGTGTTTCTTACGTACCAGGGCGCGTCGGTGGCCGTGCGGAGGGCTATGTTTTCCACAGCCTGTAATGACTTTAAGTGGCTTTTTGCCGCGTGACCCCACGCCGTGGAGGCGTAGGTTAGCTGCGGTTGAAGTACCACCTTGATAAGCGTTCGCTTATTCCTTAAACTGAGGGTGTTTCCACCTTTGAGTAAGGGATAGAGCCTAGCCCTGGTGGTCTTCGCTCGCGCCACCGTCTCCACGATGTGCGGTTTCCACGTGAGACGCTGGTCCATCGTCACGCCCAGGTATCGTGTTTGTCGATTCCAGGAGATAGGTTCCTGGGATAGTGTCAGTCTGTCGAGGTTTTGTGGGATTTTTCGTTTGGTAAAAAGGATAGCCGAACTTTTGTTGGGATTAATTTTGACTTTCCACCTGTTGCACCAGGTTTCAAGTTGGTCTAAGGAGTTTTGGAGGAGGGAGACGGAATATCTAGGATCTACGGATTGGGATGTGATTGTCAGGTCGTCGGCGTATAAGTATATGTTGGTGTTGGGGGGATGTGGGATGTCGGAGTTGTAAATGGTGTATAGGTGTGGGGACAGGACGGTGCCCTGGGGGACACCGGCCTCCATGGGACGGGTGGTGGAAAGGGAATCTTGGATTTGGATGCGGAATTTTCGGTGGTGTAGGTAGGATTTTATGAGTTTGGTAAAGGATATGGGATATTGGTTGGTGAGCATTTTCATCAGTAGGCCTTCATGCCAAACCGTATCGAAGGCCTTTGCGACGTCCAGGAAGACAGCACCAGTGTACTGTCCCCTGTTGAAGGCCGCCGTGATGTGCTCGGTAAGGCGAAGGATTTGGAGTTCAGTGGAGTGATTGGGTCGGAAGGCGAACTGCTCGTCTGGAATGACTTGCAGTTCTTGGGAGTGGGTTCTTAGACGGGTTAGGATACTATATTCAATTAATTTTTCTGCCATATTATGTTGTGGCCAATTTTAAGTTTTTTGTTACATTGTATCACAAACCCTAACAAATAGCTTGTATTTCAACACTTTTTAATTTCTGTAACTTATAACTTCCTAAGTAATTCCTTCAATGTGTGTCCCGTACACACATTGAATTAAATGAAGGAACACGACAGATAATCTTAATATCAGTTCAATTCGTAGCTCCATTAACGTAATGTTATCATAAAGTGACCCTTTTCAAAAAAGAAAAATGATACGCCACTGACGCACTAGCCGGAATTACTTATTTCTACATACAATAGTTCTGTTAGACTAGAAGCAGATTTGAGATCTAAGTAGTAAAAGAAAATGTAAAAGCACAAAAATGCCGTTCATTTGTGTCATAGCTGATTATCTATTCATCAGCATTTACATCGCAGTTTACAATAGCTTTGCTCCTAATGCAATGGAGAGTAAGAGAGTAGAAACAGTTTCCAACAATCAGGTGCAATCACATTTGATTTTGAACATTACGCATTATTTTGGAATGCGCTTGTGCCTAACTGTTAGAAAACTTGGATCTAGTTATAATCGCACGTCACTGGAGCTAACTGTACTCGTATTGTTCTCATGCTATGTTTAAGATAATTGATTTGGAAATTATAATTTTTTTTTTTTCGTTTCAATTTAAACATTTTGTAATACTTAGAAAAAGTAACACTGGGCTATATCATTTCTTGGGCACAACGCTGGTAGCATCCCCCCCCCCTTATTTAAATACACCTTTTATAAAATAGTTTCGTTGCTATGGAGAGATACAAACAAAATAATTCATTATTGTCGATTATTCCAATATGTACTCCGCAAACTTAATAAATGACGGCGATTTTACGAAAACCATATACACTTTGGTAAGGTATAAACATGTTTTTAGCCGTTAATGACCTAATTTCTTTTCAATTAGATAAAAGACAACAGATTTAGCGAAGCCATCAAAATACTGCACGGAATTCCCGAATCCAACGCTACTAGAGCGGGATTATCGCTGTTAGCTTTCTGTTACTTCAATATACAGGATTTCAACAATGCTACCAGCTATTATGAACAGCTCACGGAATTGTATCCAGATAATAACGATTACAAGCTCTACTACGCCCAATCTTTGTATCAAGCTTGCTTGTATGATGAATCCATCAAAGCTTCCAATAAGCTTGTCGATCATCCAGACTATAAGGGCCAAGTAACAAAATTGCAGGCTGCTATAAAGTATAGCCAGGAGGATGTGTTGTCTGCTAAAAGTTTAGTAGAAGCCTGTTCCAACGATGATCCCGACAAAGAAGTTAATTTGGGTTGTTTACTATATAAGGTAGGTTACAAATTGTAAATACAGATGGGTTCTGTGAGATGCAATAGCGGAAATAGAAACAAATTATGAACTACGTTATCCGTTGAAAAACAGCATTGTCTAAGAGAAAATATTTTAATACAATTATATACAATATACATATTTGCTTTTAGGGATATTTTTTGTACTCTTCTTCGTTTTAAATGCCTAGAAATTATTTAAAAATTGTTTACAGTGGCGTAACTTATTTTATTTTTTAAAGGTCACAATTATTTTAATAAAAAATATATATTTGTTTTAATGAAATCAGGAAATCGGCCTGAAAAATCAAAAAGGTATACATTTTCATTTAGATTTTATTCGTGTCTTCATATTTTTTTTAGGATGGACATTATGAGGAAGCTTTAACAAAGTTTACAAGTTCCCTCCAAAATCAGGGTTTCAAACCATATCTGGCATACAATATCGCCTTATGTTATTACAGATTGAAAGAATATGGGCCTACTTTAAAGTATTGCGGTAAGGTTAAATTTTTTGAATATTAAATTATTCTTTTTAAACTAGATATCCAGAATATCTCGCGAGAAAACGCGCAAATTTTAGGGGATATTCCTCAGGCAGAAAGAAAATAAAAATATTTTATAGGAATACAGCAATGAGTTACACTTTTTTATAACTAAGGGTATAAGGGGATAAAGAATATTTGTGACTGAGCCATATTAAAAAGAAGTAGATTCATCTTTATCTCTATTCTATGGGTCTATAAGTGTGGCAGGATTTTTAAATTTTTCAATTAAATTATGTTTCTTTGCACTTTTAGATGTAAAATATATGTTGTATATAAAAGAACTACACTAATACTCATAATGCAGCGGTTATTAAATATACACTTAGTTATTTTTTGTGTTAACCTCCTTTTTAGGAAATCTATAGTTTCTACTATTCTATTGGGCTGTTCAAGGTTATTGCATTTTTACGCAATTAATTCCAAGGACAGAAAATAAAAATATTTTTACAGCAACATTTTTTTCTCATAAATGCTATAAATATTTCAAAAAGGGCCATAGCATAGAAGTTAGGCTTTAAGAAAGGAGCTACTTTCACCAAATTTACTACACTGCATGGTAATTGCAATGTGGAACTACTTACAGGGTTTTGAAAGGGGTCGTTTGTTGCAATTTCAGTATGATGATATGCAAGATTAAAAAGTTATAAGTTAATTATTGAAATTAGTTTTAATTTCAGCATAGTGTCATACAACTCTAAGTATTAAATGTAGAAATAGACAACTTGCATGAAAATTCAATTTCTTTTAGAACTACATTAACTTAACCGATATAACAACTAACAATGGTAAAAAAAATATTTCTTTAATGCTATAAATTAATTTTGTTGAACATTATGTAAAATATTTAAATTTTCAGTCGCACTTAATGACGTCACGATTTAGCGCGATAGCAATAAAATATTTATTTTTTAAAATTTAAGCCCTTTAAAATATTTATTTTGGGCGCCATTTCTCGAAATTTAAAAAAATGTGTATATGTAGTTGCATTTTACCTTTTACCAGACTTTATGAAGCTCAAGATGTGTTTTTGGACATTAAAAAATAAAAATTTGATGAGGTATGTCAGAAATGACATACTAGCCTATAAAATATAGAATTTTTTGCTTATTTTCATCTGGGAAACGTCTCCTTATATTTTGTGTACTCCCTTGCAAAACATGGGATACCTTGTTTGCTAAATAGTAATATCTATTTCAGCTGATATAATAGAAAGAGGCATTCGCGATCATCCAGAATTAAGTATAGGAATGCAGACTGAGGGTATCGAAGTGAGATCTGTGGGAAACACTTTAACTTTACATGAGACATCGCTCACTGAAGCTTTCAATTTAAAAGCAGCTATTGAATACCAGTTGAAGAACTGTAAGTTATATTACAGTTTATATGAACTAAATACAAAAAATACATAGCAGGTTATTTAAAGCTCTTTAAATTATTGCATATTTATAGTTGATGCAGCTCGAGAGGCTCTAACTGATATGCCGCCAAGAGCTGAATACGAGTTGGATGCAGTTACTCTTCACAATCAAGCGCTAATGAATTTTGAACAAAACCCCACGGAAGGGTTTGAAAAACTCCAATTTCTTCTGCAGCAGAACCCTTTTCCTCCAGAGACTTTCGCCAATCTCTTGCTGTTGTACTGCCAACACGAGTGTTACGATCTTGCCGCTGACATTTTAGCCGAAAATGCCCACTTAACTTACAAATACTTAACTCCTGTAAGCGACATTACATTAAGCTTTTTGTATTTGTGGATGTAAACGATTTCTGATATTTTTAGTACTTGTACGATTTTTTGGATGCCATAATAACACAGCAAACATCTCCAAGCGAAGCGTACCAAAAATTGGACGAGTTGGCGAGTCGTCATACTGAACTATTAAGAAAATTGACGAAACAAGTGCAGGAGTATCGTACAAGAAGCGATACGGAAATGGTCAAGAAGACGGTGATAGAGTATGAGGAATGTCTAGAGAGGTATATCCCCGTTTTGATGGCTCAAGCGAAGATTTACTGGGATTTGGAGAATTACGCTCAGGTGGAGAAAATATTTAGGAAAAGTGTGGAATTCTGCAACGATAACGATATATGGAGGCTGAACGTGGCTCACGTTTTGTTTATGCAGGAAACAAAGTTCAAGGAGGCAACGGGGTTCTATGAACCACTTGTGAAAAAAAGTTATGCTGAGGTACGTGTACGTGTAGCGGTAGATCCAAGCAGCTCTTATTATACGCTTCCACAAATATTATTTCTTTGTAGATCTTAAGCGTTAATGCGATAGTCCTGGCGAACCTGTGCGTCTCATACATTATGACCTCGCAAAACGAAGAAGCGGAAGATTTAATGAGGAAAATTGAGAAAGAAGAGGACCAACTGGCATTTGAGGAACCCGAGAAGAAGTATTTCCACCACTGCATCGTCAATCTTGTTATAGGGTAAATAATTTTGAAACTGCTAAGGCGTAATTTCCATAATTAATTCTTTTAGAACACTGTATTGTTCAAAGGGCAACTATGAATTTGGAATATCTCGCATTATGAAATCTCTAGAGCCTTACAATAAAAAACTGGGAACAGATACGTGGTTCTATACGAAGAGATGCTTCTTAAGTCTGATTGAGAACTTGGCTAAGCACATGATAGTGTTAAGGGATTCGGTTATTCAGGAGTGTATACAATTTTTGGAGTGTTGCGAAGGTAAGTAGTGGTTCATTTTTCTCACATCATGTTTTCTTGTGATATTAGTGAAGAATCATTGTGGAAAGTCTTCCGAGTGACCGAACAAAATTTCATCAGTATGCGTGTACCTATCAATCAGGAAGTTATAAAGTTTTGCTTGAAACGAGTTTTTGATAGTTGTCATGTGAATAGCGTACAGCAATCAAGTTGTGCGCTCTGCGCTGAAGTCTGATTGTTGATCAATAGTACACGTTCTGCTAAATGTGTTATTTTTTGAAAATTTGGTCGGCCATCTTGAATTTTGCAAAATTGACCTCGGATCCGTGATCAGCGAGCTCAAAAACCCCCGTACACCAAATTTGGCGCGAATCTGTTATTTTTTGAAATTTCGTGATATCTGACCTGGTTTTGAGGTTAGAAAAAGAACCATCAATGACCTGATGGCGGTTCACGTTCGGCGGGGTCCTAACCATGTAAAAGAACATTTTAATATAGAATTTTTTTTTTAATTTTACCTAGGACTTTTTCGTGACTGTTATTTTTGACCTGTTTTTTGAGGTTAGGATGTAATAGCTAAATTCTGACACCGGATTCGCGATCAGGAGGCAAACTTTTTTTTCAATTTTTCAAATTTTTTCCAGTGAATGGTAAAAAAGTTCGAACGGTGGCTTATTCAACCTTTTCGGAGGAAAACGATGCACCGAACGGCAAGGAAACAGTGACATACGAAGCAAGAAAAATTAAATGTTTATTAGTAAAGTTGCAAAATTATTAAATATATTCTTTAAACTTAACCGGTCTTTTGCTCAAGGTGAAACCTGTTGAAACTTGTGACTTGATTGGATGGTAAGTAAAAAACATCGTAGATCAAAAATATTTTATTTACACAAAGCATATCGGTGACAACAAATGTAAAGATTTAGATTCATCAATCGATAATTAAGTTCTCAATATCACAATGTAAGAATGAGGAGCTTCATTTATTTTGTCGTAAGGTTGCAGGTAGCATGTTTACTTAAAATTTTATAACTGAATAAGAGATTCGGTTCCCTCGTACGCTTATTTTCATCAAAGCTTAATATTTTAAAAATGACTAAGAAAAGTGTGACATTTGCAAAGTTGTGAGTATTAATTCGTTCAGCAGAGAGCTTCTGTAAATCTGTCATGACAATAGAAATATTGACAATTCAACTTGGAGTTTCCTACGTGCGGCGCAATCAGTTGAAACAACGCAAGTTTATATTAAATATTGTGACAGAAATATGGTTAGAAATAAAATTTTACTAATATGAAAGCAAGTAAATCTGTCAAAATTGAGTTACTTTGATAATTGGTCGCAAGATATAGTCCAAAGTACAGGTAGTCCAAGCATTCTGTCACGGATTAATGTTAAATTTGCAGAAACTATTACCTGGACAAAAAAAATATGACCGTATAGACCGTTCTTTAAACTCGATCCAATATGGCGAACATGGTTAAAAAAAATCGCAAAGTTAAAAAAAAACGGTTTTTCTAAAATAACTAAAAAAATATAGCACGGATTGAAAAATTTTAAATGAGAAAGTTATAGGTTTTAAAAAGATCTATCGACTGACTTTTTGAAAGTATCGATTGCTTTGTTACTTTTCGAGATATATCGAAAAAACCGTTAAAAATTTTCTCTTCTTCTATAACTCGTTTACATTTACGTGCCCATATTTGCTATTTACTGCAAGCATAGCCCGCGGCAAGCCAAAAAAGTACATTTTTGAAAAATTTAAAAATATTAATTATTTTTCGATATATCGATTTTTTTAAAAAAAAGGCGCTCTCGAAAATTGGCTAGATCTTCTCAGTGGATAGCCCTACAGTAACGATTTTCGGTTTATTTTCTTCGTAGAGTTATATCATCATGCTGTTAAAAAATTTTGACGATTTTATTAATTTTAAGGATCAAAAAATGACTGAAAAAGTTGCACTTTTTTTGGGTATGTATTTTTCAAATAACTATTTCAATTTTTATTATTTATTTGTACTTAATCTGGGGTAGCTAAACACGAATATTATAGCATTTTCGCCTTAGAAGCAAAATAGACCCGTAAATGTTTAGTTTTCTTTCTTTAAAAGTCATTTTCATAAAATAAAAATTGAAATAGTAATTTGAAAAAAACATATCCAAAAAAGTGCAACTTTTTCAGTCATTTTTTGATCCTTAAAATTAATAAAATCGTCAACATTTTTTAACAGCATGATAATATAACTCTTTACGAAGAAAATAAACCGAAAATCGTTACTGTAGGGCTATCCGCTGAGAAGATCTAGCCAATTTTCGAGAGCGCCTTTTTTTCAAAAAATCGATATATCTCGAAAAATAATTAATATTTTTAAATTTTTCAAAAATGTACTTTTTTGGCTTGCCGCGGGCTATGCTTGCAGTAAATAGCAAATATGGGCACGTAAATGTAAACGAGTTATAGAAGAAGACAAAAGAGAAGATTTTTAACGGTTTTTTCGATATATCTCGAAAAGTAACAAAGCAATCGATACTTTCAAAAAATCAGTCGATAGATCTTTTTAAAACCTACAACTTTCTCATTTAAAATTTTTCAATCCGTGCTGTATTTTTTTAGTTATTTTAGAAAAACCGTTTTTTTCAACTTTGCGATTTTTTTTAACCATGTTCGCCATATTGGATCGAGTTTAAAGAACAAGAAACTCAATTTAGAATTTAATTTTCTATACGGTCATATTTTTTTTGTCCAGGTAATAATTTCTGTAAGCATTTCTCTATAATGCTTGGACTAAGGCCCCCCTGGAAAGTTGATTACCAAATACTTTATAACTCGTGAGGAGCTTCGTTTTGACATGTCTACCACACCTTTTCTCTGCGCCTTTTCTCGATTCCTCCACTTTTTCACTCGGAAAAGTCCAAAAACAAGGCAATTTCCCGGGGTCTTGAAAAGTCAAGACCAAATCTTTTTTTTAGCTTAATTTACTGGAAATTTTGTTGCAAATGCCGAGTTAAATTTGTCGGACAGAAATTCTTCCGACATTGACGTCTACTGGCCGAAACATGCCAAAATGACAGGGTATTGAAAATCAATTACCACATAGGTAATTTTTAGTGAAATTAATTGTAAATAAATAATTTAGTCAAAAAGTATTGTCTGACAAATTTCAAGCCGCGTTTTTTCAGTCCGACAGCTGGAAATCGAAATTTTCACCGGGTATGATAAATCAATTACATGTCGGACAAAAATAACACTATAAGCAAAAATTGTAATGTCCAACAAAAATATATCTGCAAATCGTCAGTTCGACAAAAAAAGATGAAAAAAAATTTATTTTTCGTTTTATTCTTGTAATTGTAAATCTCTAAAATTGTATCGAGAAAAGTCGCAGAGGAAAAGTGTGGTAGAAGTTAGTGCTTAGCCAAAACATGGAACATGATGCTTATGCGTTTTTTTTTTAATTAATTAATTATCATATTTAAATAATCAGAAACTGAAAAATATAATCAAATTTTCACATACTTTGAATGTCCTGCCTCCAATCACCAATAAAACTGCCAAAACCGATTGCCTTGTACTATTTCAATAATTGGCCACAAGATGGTGGTGTATAGTTAAGTTCAATTGCCAATAGCCTGTATAAATGAAAATTTTCTATGCTCCAAATTCCGGAAAATCAATTTTTTCGATTCCACACCGAAGTACAATCATAAATATTTATAAAATAGTAGGTATATAATTTTGTACCAAGTATAAATATTTTTCTATAATTACATCCCTTTTCTAGTTCTATATTTGCGATAAATGTCAAAATTTTTCAGTCATACAACACAACTAAATCTAAAGATAATCTTTTCTACCTATAATCTACATTATTGTTGTTAGTTTTAATTAGTAGAAGCAAGTATCACAATATATTCGAAGAATGATATAGATAAATAGATTTTTACCTCTGTAATTTTGATTTTGAATTTATATTTTGAATTATTCATGCTACTATGGCACTAGACGGAGTTTGATTTAGGCCACATGTTCCGTCGCCTCTGTATACTCTGTAATATCCTTGTTCGCCCCAAGAGGTGCCCCAAGAATTTTTCACAATCCAGAACGGGAGAGTTTTATTAAACTTAGGATAGTCTGAAACAAGAATAAATAATTTGTAATAATATTTTTAATTTATTTTAAAGATATTAAGCTAATTCAAATAAATTCAAAAAATTTTCCTGAAAATCTCTTAAAAATTTTATGAATTTATTTGAATCAGTTTTAAAATAAAGTAAAAATTAAAATACATATTTCAAAAATAATAAAAAAAATATATGTCTATACGACACAAACAAAGAAAGTTCTCATTTTCGAGATACAAAATTTCAAAATTAAGGTTGCAAACAGCAATTGGGGAACCCGTGTAAATTATACTTAATTTTATTATTGGAAAACGTGATTACTTGAATAATGATTATATTTATTTAAAAAATAACGCTGCAAATCTCAAAAACGTTAATTTTTAGCAATATATGTTACACTAACAAAGCATTTTTGTCATATCAATGGAAATTACTATGCAAATCCGAGAAATTGCCCAATATTTTTTAGTTTTACAAAAACCAGTTTTTTTCTCAAATTTGATTCTCAATACCAGAGAAACTCATATTTATAGGAACTTTTTTTGTTGATTTGTGATATAGAATCTGCTATTAAAATTGGCCAAGTATTTTAGTTACACCCTGCATAATTGCAGCTTTTTCAAATAAAAAAAAATCCAGGTCACTTGTAATTTATTTGGTATTATGCATTAAAACTTTTTTAGATAATCTTTTTTATACCCAGAGAACTTCTTATAAAGAGTTCAAAACCACAAATAGTTTTCTCTTTCAAGAACCCAGGGCCGGCTTTCACAAAATTTCCAGTTGCAAACATCAAATTCCCTGACTTTCACGAATATTTTTAGAATTCCCTGACAGTTCCCTGTTTTTTTTAAGAAGAATAATGTATTCTCTGACTTTTCAGGGTATTCCCGGTTTTCTAGGCCGCTACGAATGCTGTTATGTGAATAAAATAGTATATAAAATTAAAATCCCTCATTCCTGACAATAAATAAAGTAAAACCATATAATTTTTACAGGGATTATGAACATAAAATAAAATCACACTAAAAACAATTTGTATGCATAAGGAGCATAGGCTTCTTGCACCTGTAGAAATTACGTAAAATAGTAAAAATGTAAAAACAATATTAATTTTTGTTTACTTCTTAATTTCTCACCTTCTGACAACATTGAGGTCAGGGGTTTAACTTTTTTATTATAGATGTTGTTGGAAAACCACACTTTAATTATTATTATTATTTTTACCATTATAACTTTTTTCTGAGCATTATCAAAAAAATTTTAATTATTGAGATCGTACTGTATATCAAAATTGTTATAAATAAAACACTTACTGTCTACGCCATATCCCACGATAAGCACTCCATGATCCAAACTCTTAGGATTGCACAATGCTTTCCAAGGATGCGACACACCTCCGAAATAAAACTGCATCGCATTCGCGTTTATGGCTATCGAGATGGGTCCGTTTTTAACAAGCCACTTGGCCATATCGACTTCATTGTGGCTTATGTTCAGCGCTCCGCTTAGCTGTACGCAGGCTTCGCTTTTAACGAAGTGACATTTCTCATCGTCGCCCTCATACGGATAGTCGGATTCGGTTTCTAGTCCTCCCAGTTGCTCTATGGTCCTTAAAATGATCGGCATTTAAAACTTTGAACATTTCTGCTAACAACAATTAATTGAAATACAGAGAAAAAAGTAAAATGTAATAAATGTGTCAAATATGCAATCACTTGTTCGTTTTTGAAATATAGAGATATCATTTTTGTTATTAGTCTTCATATAGTTTAAAAATATGTTATTAATATTATTTTAATGTGCATTTTGTCTTTATTTGTATTTTTGTTTATTTGTAAATTGTACTAACTGTACACTTCATATTTATTTAGATTTAATTTTTCTTTGTTTACTCTTTCATGTCTTTTATGTCAAAAACTCGATATTGAAAAGTGAAATTTGTCCAAAAAAAAAAAACGCAAGAACGCCCAAGTTAACAAGCTAGTCACCGCGTCGTCTCTCTGAAAGTCAAGGTATGTTTTGTACGCGGGAACCCAAATGGCTCCATCTGTCGTGCTGACTCCCAACTGTGCCATTCAATTGGCTACAGTAGGAAGCGACCTGCTATATTGCAAGTACTTGTTGCACGACTGCCACCTACAGAAGGCGAAGACAATGTTTTAAATTGCCGGTGTTGCAAGAAACAACTACTCTGAGGGCTATAAGCCCCTACCGGCATTGAACTATACTTGCAACACCTAGTGCAACAGCTAGGATCGTTCGTCAGTTTAACCCACCAGGCACAGACCGGTTTCGGACTTATTAGTCCTCATAAGTGTGTCATAGGTGTGAATGGCACAGTTGAGGGTCAGCACGACAGATGGAGCCATTTGCGCTCCCGCATACAATGTATTTCCTTATCTTGATGATACGACTCAAAACCGTTGGATCGTTCGTCGGTTGTCTCACCTATGACACACTGATGAGGATGAGTAGTTGTTTCTCGCAGCACCGGCAATTTTAAATCAAGGTATGTTTTCCCACTTCTTATTTTTCGTGAACCAGTATATATTTTTAGCAACCGACGAATCAAGTATAAAAAATTTTTCATAAATTTAGACAAAAAAAATGCCCTATTTTTGACAGGTGTTTTAACTTACCTATATGCATTGTCCATCAGGCCACCATTACAGCCCTCATCCAATTTATCACAATCCACAAGTTCCTGCTCAGAAAACTCTAGTAACTTCCCATATTTAATGGCATATTGGCCCTCGATGTTGCCGGTCGTACTAAAGGCCCAACAACTTCCGCACATTCCTTGATTTTTTACCTTAGTCACCACGTTTTTCTGACGCCAATCATAAGCTGTAGGCAATTCTATATCAGGAATAAAGGCGTTTGAAAATGGTGGCTCATTTTCATTCCTTAGATCCGGACGTAATCCGTGAGACTTTGAAAATTCAGTTGCTGTTAAGTCCGCGAACTGAGTTACGCCGTACTGAGCTGTGCCTTGCTCATAGTTGTTAAGTAATTTAATTGTGTTTAAGTTGTCTTTGAACACTTTCAGGCGATAGTTGTATTCGGTATCACTTAAATAGGTTTTATTGTGCTTTATCATGAAATCGTTAAATTTGACGAGAAGTTCCTGGTTATGGAATGTATTTATGTGTTGAGTGCTCTTAGGAGAAAACGAGTATAAATTGTCGTCGTTCTCGCAGGTTATATTGATTTGTAAACTGTTCGACAACCAAGGCTGTTCCCAGATTGTAAAATAACATATTTTGCTTTTGCTGTCTTCTAATTCTTCGCAGTACTGAGTGTAGTACCGTTTTGGACAATCGGACAGTACTATTTCTGCCGTAACGCGCCAAAACTGACCAGGCACTGCTTGTTTTGACACTTTCTTAATATTCTTAATAGTATATTTGGTCGAGTGAGGAGACCGCGAATCGAGATATTGTAAACCAGACTTCACATAGTGTAAAACTTTTGGATTGGGTTCATTAGTTTCATCCAGTGAACCAGGAATAATATATCTAGGAGTTCCAAGGCTACGTTTCAGTCTAAAACTGTAAGGTACGGATTCGTTCTCACAGGATGTTTGTACCTCTCTACCGTTTGGCAGCCATGGACGGTCCCATATTTTAAAAACGCAGGTGCGACTTTCACTTCCTTCTAATTCTTTGCAGTCCTGTGGATCGACCGATTTATTTTGGGGGCAGTCAGAAAGTGTAACGGTGGCTTTAATGCGCCACAATTCTCCAGCGACGACTTGTTTGTCCACCGATATAATGTCCTGCACTTTTAATTTGTTGTAGTGGCCAGACTCATTATCCAAATAAGCTAGGATATCTTTCAGGTACTTTAAAGCTTTCAGATTGTCTGGCGATTGCTCTTCGATCCCTCCTAAAAAATAAGTGTATGTGTAAAAGTCCCCTATAAATATTCAGGGAGTTTTGAAAAAGGTACAATAAATTCAAGGCTGATAGAACCTATTATCTTGTTTTTGAGATACAGTGCGTCAAATACTATTTTTTAAAATAAAATTTTAGCCATATATTTTTCAAAAAACAATGTAATGCATTGAAATGGTATAGGTATGTTTTTGAGGATACTAAATACTGAGCCTTATTAGCTTTTAATCAACTCTCAGAGGTCGCTAGCTACAGCCTTATTCACTTCAAATTCATGCTTTTATCTATAATAATCCAGTTGATAAAAGACGAGATAATTTAATCAAAGGTATCAACATTTTACCTGAAAACAATGTGCTTGAGGAATTTGTAATTAAAATACGAGGTATTTATACCCTGAGGGTTACTCGGTCAGAAATTCTTTCCAAAAATAAGAATATTATACAGGGCGATTCAGTCATAATGTCATTAATTTTAACCACGTATTCGGAAGTCCTAATAAAGACAGAAAATCGGAAAAAAATTATATGTGAATATGGCGATTTTATATGGAGAGTGTGTACAGAACACAAATGCCGCTGCAATTGAATATCGGAGACGTTTCCCTGATAGACAGAACTTCCCAAGCCCACGGACAATTGTGCAAGCTGTCCAATGTCTTCGTGAAACGGGGTCTACCATACCGCGCAGACAACGTGCAGGACATCGACAAAATTACTTAAATGTGATAGAAGCTGTTTTAAATTTAGTCGAGGAGCAGCCTACTATTTCCACAAGAACAATTTCAAGGCGATTGGAGATATCACAAACTAAAGTTTGGCGGATATTGTGCGAGAATTCACTCAACCCGTACCATTTTCAAAAAATTCAAGCTTTAGAACCAGCTGATTTCCCTAATCGTCTTGAATTTTGCAATTGGTTCCTAAATCGAAGTTCAGCAGAATAAAATTGTTGCTATTTATGTTATCTCACCGAAAATAGATAGAATGGATAGCTGGCATAAAAAATACAAATTTTAAAAAAAGCACACTACGACCAACAGGAGCCAAGATAAGAATTTTTTTTTTAAATCGTAGCGCAGTTGTTTATAAACATTAAGACTTGAATTTTTCGCAAAATTAAGTTTACGACGTAAACTACGATTTCCCGTGAATTGCAATGAAAAATGTGGAAAATTAACGACTCACGAGCCCTTTAAAGAGAAGGTACTTGCTAGTGATGGGAGATTTCGAGTGAAAAATCGAGTGGTACTCGATTATTGAGATCACTCGAGATATCTCGAGATGTTTACTCCCACCACTCGAGTGATTATTACCCTACGGTTGCACGCCAAAATGTTAGTGCATACTGCAAATAGTCACTGATTGCGTAACCTTTTTTTAGAATAAAACGAAAAAGTGGTTAGGTTTTGAAGTGCGTGAGCTTTTTTTTTTTAGCTACGCTTATAAGTAATATATGACTAATACAAACATATTTGTGCGCCGCTGGGATGAAAACGACCAATATCTCGTATCTCGAGTGATCACTCGATTATTAGAAGTACTCGATTACCGATAACTCGATTATCAAAATTGGTCGATTATGCCCATCACTA